GGGGAGTTCTGGGAGTTGAAGTCCACACATCTTCAAGTTGCCAAGGTTGAGAAACACTGGTCTAGACACTTCCTTAGGAGACAGCGTATTCTTACCTGAAGTAAACAAAATGAAACTTTATTTAAAAAGAAGAAAATATAAAGCCCTGAACATATAAATATGTATGTTGGAATATAATACATTATAATCATCCCGAAAAAGAAAATACTATGTCTTTTCTAAAATGATGTGTGCGAATTAGGCTGGTTCTTCATAGGTAGAAAGGAAAATACACACATTCAGAGGTATTCTTGCAATGTTTAGAAAATATTGTAGAAATGTATTCTGAGCAAATATTTATTGTATATGTTGAAATTGAAACTTATATGATCAAAGAAAATGTATTTAGGCATTTTAGTCTTTTCCACTTTACAAATGATTTCCTTCTGCTTAACTCTTGCAGGAAGCCAGTTCCAAATGCCCTGCAATGGATGAAGACAGTCAGGATGAACTCATAAACAAGAATGCTGCAGTAGGCAAGGTTAAAAGAACAAACGTGCTGCTCTTTAGTGATGCAGGTAAATGAAATTTGTCAGCGTGTATTCCAGAAAATGTCAGTACTTTCTAGTCTTTAATAAACTAGAATGTATAATAAGATATCTCCCAATGGTTTTGATATTTCCTTGGCTCCGTAGTGATAAACATTCATACATAGACATAGTTTTAATGCCTGTTCAATTTAATGCTTGGATGGTATTAAGGAACTAAGAATTCCTACAGGAAGAAATCCTGAGCATTTTTCTTTTTTTCACATTAGGATGAGGAACCTGTTGCTCTTGCTTTAGTTTTCAAAGCCCTTTGTTAAGTGATCAATTTAGACCTATGGTAAGAGGAAGTTTCTCTTTCTGGTATACTGCTAAGTGAGAGAAAGTTGTAGTTCTGCCCATGCTTAACTGGTTTCATCCACCCATATCTTTGGACTTCCCTATGGACATCATTTGGTTCCCAGAGATTACCCACAAAGGAATGCAGCATTAAAAGAAAAAGGCCTCTTATCTTTATATCAAACTAACATTTTCTGGGATTGTGGAAGGTTTCATATATGGAGTCTTTTAAAAGTAGTTTAAGAGGTCAAGGAACAATTTATAGTATGAAATTCATGCTATAGGACTCCTGCTTAGCCACTTACTTTTGGCTTCTGAGATTTCACTAGTCTCTCCTTGGCCATTTTCAGGCTCTTCATTGCAGCCATAAAAACCAGAAAAAAGAGGAGGAACCTCTAAAGTGCTATGTTTATTTTAGTGTGAAGCCCAACACTTAGTGAATCAAACTTGTTAATGTCTAGACCATTTGTGGGTTGAAGTTGCTAAGGTTTTGGCATGAACATACTCTCAGTCAAACCAGGGCTTGGAGAATTTAGTGTGAGAACTTTGCACTGGCACAGAAGTAGACTTTATGCATTTCTGCATTGATCTAATAATATCTTGGAAATTATCAAAAATGGTTTGTGTTACATTGAGTTCAATTATTGCTTGTTTCAGCTCACAAGCTCGGGATGAATGCATGAATTCAGTACAGGCCTTCACATTGTAGCTTATGTGACCACTTGGATCAGAAAAATGTCTCAGTTGAATTTCTGAGACATTTAGGGCTAAAGCCTTAATTTTTAAAGGTTGCTGTCATGGAGGGAAGAAATGCAAAGTTTGTACAGCAAGTGATCAAGTTGTTAGTAATTAACATACAATCAAGCATACTGGCTCCTTTCCCTTTCCAGAAAGTGAGCTCTTCCTCTGAGTCTCCAGGAACTGAACCTTTGAGACTGAGAGACCAAATTTGATGGCTAGCCACTGTGAATAGTAATGATCCCACTCCCAGAAAAATCTTTTATTCCCAGAAACAGAAATACAAGGTTCTCCTATGTAAGAAGAAGCAGACAAGTCAATTGACAGAGTGGGACAGACTGATTCATTCAGTCTTAATCAATGATGACATCCTGTTCTGGTGCCTTGTTTTTGTGTCAACAAGTCCCAGACCTAGAACAGATAATCTAATATCATGTGTGACCTGGGATGCTCACTATTGTGTGTTGTTCCAAAGCACAGCCAGGGATTCCAGCATATATCCAACAATCTCTAGCACTTTCCTGACTGGCCTCCATCTCCATACCAGAAGAAATGAACTTAATTGTCCATCTTAAAAGTGGTAAAGTTCCTGGAGGGGGTTTCTCCATTGACTGCTGGCTCCTGCAACTAATGTTGCGTGAATGGACTACAGTGCAGGTCCATTGCTCAAATAGTGGAGAACCGACCGACCCTATTCCATCTTCTAAGGGAGTTAAACAGGGATGTATCCTGGCCCCTCTATTATTTAATTTATGCATTAATGATATTGTTCAAGCCCTCACCAAGGCCAAATTTCATCCTCCTCTGACCTGTAAACCAGTCTCCATTCTGCTATATGCTGATGATGCTGCAACCTTGTCTGTTTCCCAAGTAAACCTTCCTTTGTGATCCCAAACAGCTCTAATGCAATCCTTAGATATTCAGCCTGCAAGAGTAACAACTACATGCTTGCAACAATTAAATTTTTGAAGCCAACGTGCTAAGTGTTTTGCTGTATGGCACACAATGTTGCATTTACAAGGACATGCCTTAGAAGCCATAAGTCTAAATTTCTGAGATCCTTACTCCAGGTTCCCCATTCAGTTGCTAATACCCTTCTCCAGCTAGAATTCAGTCGAGGCTTGATTACAACTCTGCTGGTTTAAGTATTGGCTTAAATAAATTTGAGGAGGAGAACTAGCCCAACTAGTTCTGAGAGACAGATCCAGTCTTCTTGGAAGAAAGAATTAAAGGATGACCCTGCTAATTGTCTGTATCCATGCTAGGCTTGGATAAAGTCTGGAGGGAGCTCAAATAGAGAATTTTAAATCTTAATTTACAAAGAGATGGAATGAATACTTCTCATCTCTGCTACAACGAACTCATGCACTCCCTTTTTACATTCCTGAATACCTGTATCATTTATTAGTCCCATCTCACACAGGGGCCTTTACTTTGGCACATTTTGGATACTCTCCTCTCAGTGGTATCGTTGCACAGATGCAATGATTTTCCTTACCAAAAACATTTGTGTATCTGGTCAGAAATTGAGACAGTAGTGCACATACTTTTGAAATATCTTATCTACCACTTTATGTCCTAGTTGATAGTGAATACTTATGTCCCTTCTTGATTTTCTTTACTCTTTTTTTCAAAAGAAAGCAGTGATGAAAATAGCGGAGACTCAGATGACACAGGGAGTGAGGATGAAGATGATACTGATGAAGATGGAGGTGAAGAGAATGAAGAAAGTGAAGATGAAGATCTAGAAGGTGATTATAATAAGTCTTTCAGTAATATTAATTAAGAAAGTTGAATGTTCAGTAAGTCTGCTGTTTCTAAAGCCACTTTAGGTGAGAGCTGCGGCTAACTTGCCTAATTTCCGTCAGACCACTGTAATATTTGAGCTGTAGAGAAGCACACTGTTACCGTTGTGAATGTGCTTGCTTGCCAGACATTCATAGTATTGCAGGCTGCCATCCAGACATGGAATACACATCTCCACTAAGATGGTCTTTGTCACATACAATGAGAGTCAGATACCTTGGCCCCTCCCTCATTTGACAATATAAAGATGTTCTAAATGAGCGCAGAAGTCTGGAGAAGCTGGAGAAAGAGGCTGGGTAAGGAACTTGGGCTTCCATCTCCCCAGCAGCCTCTGAGGAAAGCATGGAACCCCAAGATGCAATCCAGGCATCTTGAAGCAAAGGACAATTCTGCTTCTGGAAGTCTTCTGTTTTGTAGAAATAGGTAAATTGCCTAGCCATTTATTTGTTGTTATTGTGTTAGGTTTAATTTGTGTTTCTCTGTGGTGCTAAGTCAAATCCTATGGTCCTGTGTTTATATTTTTCTGGACAAGGTAGTAAACTCTGTGTAATCTCCTCCATAGCTGAGCAGCATGTCCTCTAGGTAGCAGATGGAGAAATCCCCTATGTCACAAAGCAGTTCATTTTCCATGTTCAAAATGCCTGCAGTTTTCTTGGCAAGATTTTGAAAGAGGCTTGCCATTGCCTGCTTCCTAGAAAGAGTGAATGACCCAAGGTCACCTAGCTGGCTTTGGGCCTAAGATGGGACTAGAACTCATGGTCTCCTGATTTCTAGCCTGATGTCTTAACCATTACACCAAACTGGCTTCCATATCCAGATTAGGCAGAAATTTTTGGAATTCTGTTATTGGCAGTCAGGATCGGAGTGGGGGGAATAAATATTATACCTGACCATGCTTTAATATACCCCTGAAATATCCAGGAAATATAGAAGATAAACGAAATCAAACAACTAGATATAAACAAGCTAAAGTGTCCAGATACTGCTGACACCTTTCAAAAGGAATGTGAAACCAAACTGAAATAATTCCACCTTAACTGCACTAGATATATGTTGATTTGGAGAATGGTTTTGACAGGCTTTCAAGATTCTGTTATAATGTTTTACTGGCAATAAAAATATTTCCAGACATCCAAGTAGTTCTTGTTTCCCTGCCTCGCAGGGCTCCACACTTAAAGCGTTGCATTTTATTTTGTTTGTGTCTTTTAAGTAGCCAGCAATATCACTGTAATTTGGGCAATTCTGTAATTTACCTTTTTCAGCATTGAATGTGTGCATTTGTAAATATTAGAATATTTAAAATAAAGTTTTATTTTGTTTATCCCTGGTGAATTGGTCTGACTTCAAAAGAGGGGAAGAAGGGCTGAATCATCTAATCAGATGCCTCTCCAACTACATGGTCAGGAGGTTGTGCCATTAAAATTATTTTGCTTTTTGTATTTTTACCTTTTTATCACCAGAGAGATAGCACAGATTATCTCTGGTGATAAAAAAGGGCCTATTTCTCTCATACACTAAAATTATGGGGTGGATGTCAGTTGAGGTGTCCCCTGAGAAATATGACAGTGGGAACCACCCCAAGTAAGACTCAAAGCCAGAGTGTGAGAACTCGTGGGATAAGTTGAAAGCCTCCAGCCTTCCATGTTGCGAGCTCAGCTGTTCATCACAGATACATTTTTACAATAGTATGCATGATCCTTCTCCTAATAAATAATCCTACAAGGTCAGTTGAGCTGAGAGTCAGCTGACTGATATAGAATTTGATTGATTGATTGATTGATTGATTGATTGATTGGTTTTATTTACAGGACTTATATGGCTGCCTATCTCATATAATGATACTAAGTGGCTCACAACAATCCATAAAGACAAAGATGAAAACAAAAACAAAAAAAAATAGTGGTTAAGCTCTGAGCATTGAATCTTACCGTGCAATTATACTTGATTTGTGCATCTTTTTTTCTAGTAAGTCTGGATCACCCATGACAGTGGAGATATCTAACAAGGCTGTATCCAGTATTACATGGATAGTTTTCAGCTCTTGCATGGGCTGCCTTACTGTTTTCTACCCTCTCATTGCCTATATGTGTTTCAAATAAAATAATTTCTCAGCCTTCCAGAACAGGTTTGGGGTATGTGTGTGTGAGAGTATTATTCTTTTTTTTTCTTAAGATACTGAAGAAGAAGAGGAAGAAGATGAAATGGAAATGGCTTCTGAGCAACCAGCATATTCTGTTAAAACAAAGCCACAGCTTAATGGAGGAAGTAATTCTTCTTCTGATGAAGATGCTGAAAACTGCCCAATATGCCTCAACTCATTCAGAGATCAGGCAGTTGGAACACCTGAGAATTGTGCCCATTATTTCTGCTTGGATTGTATAGTTGAATGGTCTAAAGTAAGAACTAATTTATTTGATAAAATTATGCTATAGTTGATGCTATTTTGTGAGTGAGCATCATGGCCATTTCATTTCAAAATGTATCTTTCTGCAGGCCATATTTGGTAGGCAGCAAATAATCATTATAGATCCTCTGGACTTCCCCCAGAAAGCTAATTTGTATATATGTGGATTTGGATTATTTTTATTATTATTCCTTTTCGGTTCTTACAGTTAATAAATGATGTCTGCTGTTAAATGGCTTAGTACTCTCTCTTTAGAATTGAGAGAAAAGAAGCCAGGTGTTGTAGCAATGAAACATGCTGACAATTAATGCATATAAAATTATTTTAGTTCAGGCTGTTATTAAGATATGTGAGAATAGTAAGGAACCAGGTTTTTTAATGTGGGTCCTCAGCTACCACCAGTAAGAACTTGACCAATTGAACAGCTATTAATGTTTAATTTCTTGAAGAAATGGAGATATTTTTAAAATGGCAAACTGTTTCTCCCTCCCTTTTTTTTTCTTTTTCTTTTTGCAGAATGCCAACTCTTGTCCAGTGGATCGGATCATTTTTAAATCTATCTGTGTTCGTGTGCGCTTTGATGGAGAAATTTTGAAGAAAGTAGGCATTCTGTTTTCTTAAAAATAGCAAAAGTCAATATGTTTTACAAAGCATATGCAGTGCTTTTTTCTAATTCCTAATTTCTAATCAATTCATAGTTCATTGCGGTTTTTTCCCCCTGGATTTAATAATTCTGAAATATCAGAGTTGATAGAAATCACCAGTTTATAATGACAGACAATTTTTTGGAATGCATGATTTTCTAGTTTTATGAACTTTTCCCCCCCAATTTAAGCTATTTACATGCATACATGCAAAGATTTTTGTGAACAAAAGGTATTATGCACATACATTTTGCCCATGCTTTCTCTCATGGCCTTCTGGGGGAAAATTGTTCTAGTAAAGAGCATTGTTACTTGTACTGCAGCAGAAATATCAATAAAGCATTATTAATCAGATGGAGAAGGAGATAATGAATGCTAAGCCTTACTGCATAAAAAGCAATAGTGAAGGAGATTTGCAGTTCCTATGAATTTAACAGATTAATTGCTACATACTAGTGTATTATTGCAGTGATAACCGTTCTAGTGTTGCCAATCAGCAACAAACCTATGCACTCTTGAGCATAGTTCCTGTTAAGTAAAATGGGCTTTCCTTCAGAGTAAAGATGAATGTTTTTTTTTCTGAGATAGAAAAGAAATAATATATAAAGTTCTTACAGTACTGCTTTTGAAGTTCTTTTGAAATATTGTATATATAGAGTAAAAAATCTTACTGCTGCTTCTTTAGTTTACTTTCATTGACTCATTCATGAAATAGAAACAAGTAATCAGCTACTAAGAATATGTAAAAAGGACACAAAGTAGAATTTGCAAACTGACAGTTAAACTGAAAATGCTTTAGGTTGATTTTTTTAATGTTAGCATTTGGGTACTCTTGAATAAAAAATTCCATATAAAAATGGGATGGAAGTAGCTTCATTATCTGGTGACACCTCTCCTTAAATCTGACATCATGATGAAAGAACACAAAAGCTCATGCTTGGACAGAATTAGGCAAAAATGGGTTGTTGCTACAGAACTGTGCTGTACTTGTTTTGCTGCGAACAGTGCAAAACCTCCTTAAAATGATTTCTTTAGATTCCTGTTGAGAATACAAAATCTCAGGAAGACGATCTGGAGGAAGATCCCACCTTTTGTGAAGTGTGTGGTCGAAGTGACAGAGAAGATCGTTTGCTTCTTTGTGATGGCTGTGATGCAGGGTAAAGAGCTCTTGCCTTTAAACACCTTTCTTGGTTGCCACGTTTGTCAAATGCTTCTTGAAATTAGGGTTCCACTTGAGGGTGTCAGTCTGCTTTTAATATTGAAGGTCTTATATTTTTGCCTGACAAACCCAATCATATGTCTCCTTTAGACTTCTCCAGCCATTCATAATTTGTATGCTTGGAGAGTGATATGGATACTTTGCCATATTACATGGTTATTTGGAAACCCTGCAGCAGAAATGTAATTGCTCTCAGGTGAACCTGTTATAAAGCTTCTTATTGTTGGGAAAATTGCACTGTGATTTCTGATCATGGGACACTTTATAATTATTTGTATACAATTGTACTTTTCCTACTAGAACTTGTGACAAAGACGGGTTGCTCATAGGTGGATAGGGTGAGGCCACAGTGAGCTTTCTTGTCTTACTCTGCAGTTACAGGTTGTGAATATCTAAAGAGGTAGCCTCATACAGAGAATTTTAAAATATATTTTATCTCTCCCTCCTTAGCACTGCTCCTGATTAATATGCTTTATAAGTGTGTTATATTTTTAGTAAATGATCATTATTCTTATTGGAACATACAACTTTTTCTGGTTTCTTAGATGTTCTGGTATTTTGTTTGTCAGCTCTTGGAGTATTTGCTAATTCCATATTTACTAATTCAATATTAATGAATGACTCTCTGTGGTTAGAATAAGAACTTATGCATGTATATTTATCTCTGTATGAAGGATCAGTCTGCATAATAGGCAACAGGGCATGGTATTCTCTTCTGCCTTTACAGTTTTGTAAGAACACCTTATATACTCTTTCTTTAGTTACCATATGGAATGCCTTAATCCACCTTTAAACGAGGTACCTGTAGATGAATGGTTCTGTCCACCATGTGCACCTGCAAATGCTATGCCTGTTGATGCTGGCAAGTATTTTCTTTACAACATATTTTTAGTTTGAATTACAGCAGAATAGGATTTTTTCACCATTACATAACATACTGAAATTTATTTTTACATTACCGTAATTTTATAGAGGCATATTTTCCACATGATTTGTCCCACATAGTACCATCACTATGGCAGCAGCATTCAGTAATCAAATGTTACTTGTTGCTTAGACAAAGTTTTCAGTAATGCTGCCCGTTGAACGGTAGAATGAACTGCATATATTGCAAATTGTTTATCTAAATATCAGCCAGTGTTTGTTTGTGGAATATGTAGCTCTTGCATGTATTGCAAATTGTTTATCTAAATATCAGCCAGTGCCTGTTTATGGACTATGTAGCTCTTGGATTCTAGAAAGGTGTTCAAGCGATAGTTGAAATATAGCTGAAAACTGACATAGATCTTCTTTTAAGAAACAGGTCAGGTGAGTGAAGAGGAGGTTGCTTCCCTTGTAGCTGATGTCATTCCTACCACTAGTCGACTGCGTCCCAGTGTCCGAACACGGGCTATAGCTAGAACACGCCAAAGTGAACGTGTGCGGGCAACGGTGAACCGAAATCGGATAACAACTGCACAGAGAATTCAGGTACTGATTAATCTGAGGGAATGGTACAGACTTCAGACAATCATCCAGTAAATGACCAAGTACTCTGGGTACACAGTGTAGCACTGTTTGCCCACATGAAAGGAACAGGGTGAATACCTGCAATCATTTCTGGCCATAATCAAAATATGAAGATTTCTGTCACAGTCCATTGGTCCCAGTGAAGTGAGTATGAGTTGTACAAAAAAATACAGTGCTGGTGTTCAGTACTCATCCAGTCCTGTAGGACTTGTATAGGAAATATAGAAAATCTCTCCACTGATTTTTCTGTGCTTAAAAGTACAGATATACTTTTAGCATGGGGTAGATTTCACAAGAATCTTGGAGCTCCTAGACCTACTGTAAATTTGCAGGACTAAGGTAATGCATATTTTGTATTGCAGACATTGCAGATATTCAATATATAAATATATTTATAAATATATAATTTCATTATAAATGTATAAATATTTATATGTGTGTGTGTGTGTGCGCAGACATTTAACCTTCCTTTTCCCAAACACTAAGGGCATGCTGCAGGCATGTTCTGGCAAACTGTGAGTAGCTATGACTCCTGAGCCAAGTGTGCTGAATGATTCAATAGATGCATCTCCTGTCTGCAGTGTCTTTGTTTATCGCAGTAATGAAATGCTTGCAGTACTACATGAGTGGGCAAAGTTGCTCTACTTCTCCAACTAATGATGCAATCAAACCTACAATATTTTATAATGTTGAGGTTGGCAAAAATATATCAATGGTCAAAAGTAGCTTTGGTTAAATTATACAGAGAGAGACTAGATTATATCCTGTTACTGCAAATAAATGCAGAAGATAAAAAAAAAGCTTAAGATAGTTTTCACGCAACCATCATAAAAATAATTGTGTGGATAGGACACTATATTCACTTGTGTTTCCTAATGAAACAATGGGTACATTGATCTGATTCACCATTTATTTGCTTTGCCAATAATTTATGATATCCACAAATTTATGGCTTCCTGGGCAGGAGGGCTTTGAGTGATTGAGAGGGAAATACTTGCTGGTAACAAAGAGATGACATAATCTGGGAGAAAAGTTAGAGGTGAAAAGGTTTCTCTTATATCTCTTTTCAAGTACAATATATGAGTTTAGCATTAGATAGCTTCAACCAGTAATTATAAACATTGGTCTTGATTTTAGCATGTACCAAGGTACCTTATGTCTTCCTTTCTTGATGAAACAATTGAGGCAGTTGCAGCCGGGCTGAGCACAGCTGTATACCAGAGACCATTAACTCCTCGGACCACAACCAGGAAAAAACGAAAAGGAGGTAATTTATTCACAGGGAAGGCAATTAGTCATATTTTCTAGGGAGGCTTGTCATGCATTTTTTCCCAGGAAGTAGAATTGGTTGAATGTGCCTGACTGGCCCAAGGTCACCCAGGTAGAATTGTGCCTGAACGGTGATTGAACTCAGCTGTCTTTGCCCTTAATTGCAAGTGCCACACCGGTAGTCTTCATTATTTATATAGTGTTTCATTCCACCATGTGTTTCCTCAGTGTAGTCTTTTGAAAAAATAGCAGCAAATAGCCAAAAACGACAGAATAAGTAGAAGAGTCTTCTTCCAAACTTTTACAGGTGAAAAATGCATGCGAGCTGCAGAATTTCTATTTAATGATTATAGCTTTCAGAAAAGAATAAAGCAGTTACCATATACAGGAGTTTAATAATTAATGGTGATAAGCTTTTGATAACCATACAAATATGGCCCTAGACCCAGTGAAATCTGTGTATCTCTGTATTAATACATAGAATTTCTTTTGATGAGCTAAATCATCCAATTAGAGATTAGTGTATGTCAGTGACATATGAAGAGTGTGGAACTTGTGGTACTTGGTAAATATATGAAATCTGGCATGAGCTAATATTATTTTGTATTATGTTATCAATAACATTGTGAAAGCACTCAAATGATCAGATATCTCAAGGCTCCTAATAGTTTGGGCAAATGGATGTTCCCTTTGGGAATTTTTAGAGCATGTCATGTGTCCTGTGACAACAGAGGTGCCATAGGGATGTGGCTGATCACAAAGCATCCATTTGCTTGAACACTACATAACTGATGGGGATGGTAGTCCTTGCCTCTAGCTCTCATCTCTGAGGAAATTGGCACATTTTCAAACTAGAAACTGGACTGCAGCCACCTCCCCCTTTTCTTTTCTAAAAGTAACTGTGAAGCATTCTTGAAAATAAAACTCATGCTGGAGTTTAGTTCTTTGTTTTGCATCATAATTTAACTGGCAGGTAAAGCAGAGAGCCATGAGAGCTGAGCACAACAGCCTGTTGGGGACCCTAAAGTTTTCTCATTCATACAGATATGCCAGAAGGTCTGTCTGAAATTGTTAGTGGGGGGGAGGGGTTAGGGTTAGGGTTAGAGTCCCAACAGAGCAAAATCCCTTTTAATGTAATTCGCATCTATTCTACATTGATCTCTCTAAATTTAAGTTGGTGTCTAATTGTTGTATATTATTTTAAGCATGAAGGTGTGCCAAGCATCCCATGTTTGTGGATACTTAATTCTGAAATCTTTGGTATTTTGCTTAATTTAGGGAGGAGAAAAAAAGCCACCAGTAAAAAAATTCGTTCAAAATCATCTGCTGGGAAAAAAGGTACTGGAACTTGGATTAAGAGACGCAAGCGTCGGACAAAGAGGAGAAAGGGAAAAAAAACCCAGGTATGCTCCCATGCTATTTTCAGGAGTGCAGAAATGTAGTTGGTTAATCAAGCAGCACTTTTTATTGGGGTGTTTTCTTTATTCAGTGATAATCTTTAGAGGATGTTGGTGGTTGCTGTTGTGTATGTTCTGTTTTCCCTCTTTAAGGAAGTTAACTAATGGAGATCTTTTAGCTTAGCTAACTTGCTGTTCTACCCAGGTTAAAACTGAGGTGACTGCTCGTTCCCGAATAGCAAAAACCCTTCGGCTTGGCAAACCTATACATGGTACTTCAATCCCTTCCATATGCAAGCCAATAGAACCATCACTTGGCCTTATGAGAGCTGATATTGGAGCTGCCTCCCTCTCTGTCTTTGGGGATCCTTTTGAGCTAGATCCATACAACAGGTAAGCATAGGATAAGTAGGAAGAAAACAATGAATGTTTCTTCAAACCAGAGTAAGACTCCAAGTGATGTCATGTTTGGAACTGCTGTGAACAGCTCAAGACTATTATCTGATGCCCACTTTTCTTTAAGAATTTTCACTGCATTGTTAAGTTACTTATCTTGAATATTAATGTTTCAGTTGATGGAATCTCTCTTTAAAGAACAATCAGGATTGTCCAAATTTTAGCATGAAATCTGGATGAATCTCTTGTTTTGTGTATTTTGATATTTTTGGTGGTGCACGTTTCGAGTCTGAGTATACTATAGGTTTACTCATCCTCTTCCCTCATACTGAACATTTTACTTGGTACTTTCTTCCTGTTGAATTTTTTATTCCTCTTTACATAACAGCTTATAAAAATGTTTCGTATCGATAACTCCAATGTAATGTGTTTTCTCAATTTATTTGTAAAAGGTCTGGAATGTTCCATTTCCTACATGTATCTTGTCAGTATGACCACTCTAGGGATGATCTGATGGTTTTCCAGAAGTTAATTCTCCAATCTGGAAGCAGTTTGATGTTCTGGATATAGCCCCTCCTTGAAGCAAGCTTGTTTTATCTGAAGCACTATGTCTAGAATACCACAAGCTACATATTGTTCAGAGAATTAACTTCCAGAAAACTGACATAACTCTCAAATAGCTGAGTTGGTGTGCCAGAGGAGAAATGGTACATTCTGGAGTTTTCCAGAATTTTTCACTCCCTAAATATTAAATTGTGTACATTCCTATTTGGGATTTTTAAAAAAGGTTCTTATATTTCTTATGGCTATTTTGATATTTCCCAAAAGGAAATATTTGTTTGTGTCTTTTTGAGTACTTCTTGCTAATACAGCACTGATTGCACTTTGCACTGATCTTACCAGGAAAGAAAAAAAACGGGTTTAGACCCAAAGTAGATAATGAAATTTACTCAAGCAGGAATTAATACATTGCATGCATGCTTTCCCTCAATTTCAAACATTTTCCCTCTAACTATTTCTATTATTATTATAATAATAGGTAAAGCTGAGCTAAGATTGGACATTTTCGGTGATTTTTCAAGTTTTTCTCTCTTTAGCGATGAAGAGCTTCCTGTTGTTAATTCAACCTCACCAGTGAGCACCAAAAGAAGAGGTCTTTCCCAATCAGCGCTTAGATCACATCGCCCTGTTGCTAGGCCAGTGGCTGTTGGGCTCCCTGGGTAAGACTAGTTAGGAGAGATGCTTTCTTATATAAAGTATTTGCTTGAGCTTTCTAGCAAAGTTTTCTTCTGTCTGGTGATCTCTCTTATGGTTTCTTTGCATGCCACATTGAAAAGCCAACTTTTCCTCCAGTGCAGTAATGTAAGCAGAACATATACCTTGACAGAGTTCAGTCTTAATAGTTAATTGTCTTTGGATAAGATATGGATAATTTCTTTCCATTTTTCATCTGCTGAAAAGGGCACAAATAATATAACTGAAGAGTTGATACAACTAGACAAAATTGCAAAAGGAATTTTTCCATTGAATTCTGAATTAGGGGGAAAGTAATGAGGAAGTCGTGCAATAATAATATCTCTTAGTGTTGCATATATTGTGCTGCTTGATAGCAGTGTTGTGTTCCAGGATAAAAGACTGTCTGACATAAAGAGTTTAGGATTCCATCTTAAACATTTCTCTTCATAGGATCTTCAGTTAAAAAACATATACTTCCAAGAACATTGGGAAAAGCCAGTATGGTGTAGTGGTTGAAGTGTTGACTAGGAGCAAAGAGACCCAGGTTTTAGTCCACCCTCAGCTACAGAAGCTCATTGGGTGACTTTGGGCTAGTCATTCTCTCTCAGCCCAACGTATCACACAAATTGTGTTGAATTGGGGGAAAATTAAAAGGAGAAAGTGCTATGTGTGCTACCTTAAGCCCCTGAATTAAAGATGGGATAGAAAGTGAATGAAAGATACACATGGTAAGCTCAGAATATTTAATTACAAAAATGCATTTCCTGACAGAATAGCCAAAGTAACATTGGTAGATCTTTTGCCATTATTTTGTACATGCATGTGTGGCTTTAGAATTAGTTGAGAAATACTATTTTGTAATTCTGTCTAGCTTTCTATTAAAAAAAAAAAAAAGCTTAACCTGCCTGTACTAAAATTAGAGTTTACCAAAATGAAAATGTTCACTATGTGCCTTGGTGATAAGCAGCCATCAATGTTAATGTTTACATGCACATATGCATTTATACTAGCTTCCTATTACTTGGTTCTGTTTTTGTGGGAATATAAAAATGTGTAACAGTTCCCAATATATGGAAGGGGTGGTAGTTGATACAAATGTAGGTCAAGAAACTGCATTCTTCTATAGAATATTTTATACTCAAAACAATTAAGGAACAACTGATAGTCAGAAGGAGGGAATTCTGTTTGCAGCCTGGAGAATGTGTACTAAAAGATGCAGGAGGCATTTTCTTCTGTATATAAGGGTATGTATTTTTGAAAGGACACTGTCATCAGTGTCCTCTGTTTTGATGGAGAAAGCTGAGGAAGGGAAAAACAAAGACCTATTCCTTTTTTCGATAGGCAGTTCTGCCTTTTGGGGGTAGGGAAGGAGGAATGGTGATGGAGGAAATGTTACATACCAGATTTATAGGCACAAATAGTGGATTTTTGTTTTGCACTAAGCCAGAAAGTAGATGGTTTGGTTTTAGCTTTGTGTCATATGCGAATCTTGTTTATAAACCATAGTTTTTGGCTCAGTATGCTGGGAGAACAAGGTCAGCATGGCTTGTTTAACAAACAGTGTTCAGACAAGCCATGGCTTTGTATAAATCTCTTTCTCTCACTTCTGTTTTAAAGATGCTCTGTGCATTCCACTATAAACATTTCTGCTTCTTAATTTGTGGTAGAAAATCTAAAGGAAATGTTTTTGTTCTGGTATAAGCATACCTCTCCTGCATACTTACTCCCATTTTCCTTTTTTTTTATATTTGCTTATTTAGGCCAGGGTTTGATAACAAGCATGTTATTAAAAAACCCTACAACTTATTCATACAGGGTTCCATATATTCAGCAATGTACGAAATAAAACTAGCACACCCAATCACAAATTACTGAGCTACTATAGATTTTTAGAGTAACCTCTTCTAGTGATGAGTTTGTAGGAACTCTGAACTCAAATGTTGCTTATTTATTCACTTTTAAATACATTGAGTGTCGATTTCTATCGTGTCTCACTTGCCGAGAGGAAAGTTTTGAGGCTGTGTACCTTTAACAGGCATGTGAGAAGGAATGTTGGCTCTGGCATGTTCTTTTGCAGTTGGAGACTCTAAGCAGGTGATTGGGGATTTGGCCAAGCAGGATGATTACTTGTGGGTGTGAAAGGAAAGAGGAAAAGATGGTGCAGTTTGTTCTGGGGGGTTACTTCAAATTTTGGAGGAATGGATGGTACAGTTCTATACCACCAGCCTAAAAATGTTATTTATTTATTAGATGTATAATATGGCACCAGCTATGTCTTTGGTTCTTCTTAGAGAATGAAAAAACAAGTCCCTGCTTTAAAAGAGCTTACAGCTGACCTATGGGGAGAAAGCCACGGGCTAAACAGAGGAGGAACCTGAAGTGATTGTGGTTATTTTCTTAATGTGAAATGTATTGATGTCACCTAAAAGCAATTTATGAATTGCTTAAACTTACCTACAATGGGGACTGGTTGTGACAAAGGCTTTGTAGAAAAGTGGGTTTTAAAGAAGAATTTGAGAATAGTAAGAGAAGTGGCATCACAAAGACTTGATTCTGGTCATGAAGGCTCAGAGTAAAGAACTCAGATTCTGGATCTTTGATGTCCTACATGAAATCTTTATTCCTAGTTAAGAAGACAAGGGAAGCCATGTAGCAGTGCCAGAATATGTGGTTCCATTCTGTGGTGCTGTTCCCTCTTTTTTCAACTTGGGCCTGATAAATGACTATTGCACCCAAAACTCCAAGCCAACACAGTTGCACTTGAAGATGTCAGGTTGGCAAAGGCTACTCTCTGCCAACCAGCTTTCAAGAGAGGGTTTGGATATCATGATGATATTTATGGAAATTCAGATAGAAGCAAACTAGTTCTAATGAGAAGCAATCATGCTTATTAGTTCTTTCCTGTCCACAATCAAAATGGGGGTCAGTGGAGTTGATTTTCCGTATCAGGAATACTAGAAGACATATTTGAGGGAGAGCTTTGTGATGCATTTGGCTCTTTTTTCCTTCATCTTTCAGTAAAAGTAGCTAATTCACAAATTCTGTGGAGACTTCAGTGATGTTGAATGTGCCAGATTTTTTTTTTAATTACTTGGTTGATGTTATTTATTATACCTGGCCTTCCTTTCAGTTTGCTCCCCCCCCCGCCACCCCAATATTACTATCATTACAATGCTGTGAGATAAGTAGTAGAAGCTGAGAGAGAGAGAGAGAGAGAGAGAGAGAGAAAGGATCCTAAAGTTTTGGCTGGTAAATTTCCATACAAGAAATACTGTTCCCATGCTTAGGATTTGAACAGGGTCATTTGGCTGGATTCCTGCTCCTCTCCCCAAGATTTATCAAAAAATGAAGTTTCTGTCATGTGGATCCATGCCTGTGAAATAATATTACTACTAATAAATATGCTTTAAAGTTTAGGGAGCTTTCTGCTTCCTTTTTATTAGGAGCCATACTGTAAGCCGAGTACACTGAGATGTCCCCTCTAGAGCCAAAGAGGGCCAAAGCTCATTGAGATTTAGGGGAGAATCTACTAAAGAGCAGGAATGCAGCCAAATGTTAACCTCCAAAGAAGGCAAGTTGAAGGTGAGTTTTTACAGGTAAGGTGAAACCAAAATGGCACCAATAGGAATGCCATAATGACATTCCAACATGGAAGCAATTCGTTGTGTTTTTTTTTTTTCAAAGTACTTATGTCAGTTTTAGTTGAACATGTACATTTGTAAATTTATATATAAGTTTGTAAGCTGTCCTTCAGAATTAAGTTTTCGGGTGCAAGGTATTTTAAAAAATAGAAATACAGGTAGTCCTTGCTTAGAGACCACAGTTGGAATCAGCAACTCTGCCACTAAGCACCATGGTCGCTAAGCAAAACATCTTGTGACCATGACAGACTTATGACCTCACTTCCACTGCAATCATTAAGTGAATCACCCATGGTCGTTAAGTGAGACATCATGTGATTGTGACTTGCAATCTTACTGCTGCCTTCTGCATTGACTCTGCTTGTCGCAAGCCAATTGTGAAGTCCCCAAATGTCAATCAGGTGACTGCGGGGATACTGTGATGGTCATAAATGAGAGGACTGGTCATAAAGTTACTCTTTCAGTGTTGTAACTTTGAACAGTCGCTATACATAGTCGGTAAGTGAGGTCTACCTGTATTGTTTTCAATGTCAGTTGTTCAAAGTGATTGCCTCTCTAGCGTCAACTCTTGATGTATTTACATAGTATTCTTTCATTATTTCTGCCTTTCCAAGAAATACTGTATTCATAGTGACAAGATGGCAAGATAATTTAAAGCAATGGGTTGCATTTTGCAAAAACCTCCTTTGGCTGGAAAGACACCTTCAACTACCAGGAAGCTTTTGATCTGGTGCAATTTTGCTGTTTGCTGAATAGGAGAGGAGTCATCCTCTCAGGTTTCTCCATTCATCCTGCTGTGCTGTGTGAACCCACAGATCAGTGGGAGAGTTGCTGCTGGGGAGTAGAGAGGGAAGAAGAATGGACTAAAATCACCTCCTTCCATTCTGCCAGTTGATACATTCTGAGATGCTCCCATGAGTTAATGAGTTAGCCTCCTAGTGAGTTAACATTATGAATCTCCTAAATTTTCCTAAATAAAACAGTTCAGTCAAAATAATACTCAAATAATCATATTAAAAAGCAGATATTTAATTGTTTACTGAAAAAGACAAGCCACCATAGGCAGGGCAAATTATTTTGGCAGAACTTGCCATAGTCTAGGTGGTACTGCAAAAAAAAAAGCTGCTATAGCAGAACTATTCTGAGTTCATCCATCATATTTCTAGCAGGGAACACAGAACAGGGCCTCCATGCATGATCTTAAGGTTCAGAAAGATTTATGTAGATAGAGGAGGATTTAAGATGCTCTCTTGTGGGTTTCAGGATCATCTGTTAATCAGAACGGACGGCATAAAATTGAAGATTCGTGTTTTCATTTGCCTATTCCAAGCAAATGCTTATTTAGAGAGAAAGAAAACAAATTCAATCATTCCAAGATTTGTTTCTCCCTCAGCTTTTCTCCCCTTTCACATACTGCTGTTTTGCTATTTCTTTTCTACTTGTTTCTCTTCATGAGGAATGGGGTGTGTCCATTTTTTTAAATTGAATTATTATAGCTATTATTTATGTTTAATTCTTAAATTAGAAACAAAACTCAGTTCAATTAGATTAAATTATTGTAGCTTTTTCTTTTTACATTTGGTTGTTTCTAATCATTGCATTTATTTTGGCATGTAATTCACTGGTTAAATCCCAAATGCATGGATGAAAAGCCAGGACTTCACCTGACATTGCAGAAGAAACAGTATAGGTGATAGCTTAACCTCAAGAGGAAGGACAATCCAAAACCAGGAACAAAGAAGGCCCACTTCTGCATCCTCATATAACATACTTCTCCCTGGTCTCAAGCCATGTAGGGCCTTAATTAAAATCTTGAAAATCAGAAGGAACTGGCACAGAGCACCCTGTGTGTTCCTTTAAAACCTGTGTTACATGATCTCTGAAAGATGTTTGAAGCAGAAAACTCTGCTGCATTTTCTACCAGCTGCATTTTTCTGGTTGTCTTCAAGGACAGCCCTACATAGCATACATTGCAGTAGTCTAACCATGAATCTAGCAGAGGATGGACTGCTTTAACTAGGTCATTACTCCCCAGAAAAGATTGCACTTGATGGGCCAGCTGCTCAGATGCACTCAAACCCTCACTGAGGCCAATTGGGTTTCTGATGAGAGAGGAGAGGAGAACATCAGCCTGCTCTACACTTGCGCCCTCCAGATGAATGCAGCCCCATTCAGAGTCTGGGCTCTCCCCAGTTCCCAGAACCACATCTTGCCCATCTGCAGCTCTTTCAGGATTTTCATTTCCATGGCCTTCATCCAGTCTGTAGTTAAACTTGCATGGAATTATGTAATACAATATTGCTATTTTTTTCCAATGCTTTCCTTTCAGCAGTCTCTGTAGAGAAACTGTACCTGGCCTTCTTTCCTTATCACAATTGTTTTATTTCATATGTGTGCTGGCCTCCTTTTTTAGAAAGAAGGGCAGCAGTAATCTAAAATATGTATTGCCTGTGTAAAACCATATAATTGTACTGAAGACTGAACTACCCTTCTGAACTTCTGCAGAAAGCTTCATGTCCTAAATTGATGTAATTGGCATAGTTCTGTGCAATACCAAAACTCTCTAATTTATAGGAGGGGTGTTCCTGCCTTGGTATCTGAGCCAGAAGCTGAGCCAGCCCCTGTGCCTGACTTGTTGGGGAGCATCCTGACCGGACAGAGCCTCCTTATGATGAGTGGTTCTGATGTTGTTATTAATAGAGATGGATCCTTAACAGCAAAGAAAGCAGGTGAGGTCTTGTAATGGCTATGTGGGAATGATCTTGGGAGAATGGGCCAAGAGACGCTGCCTAGGGGAACGGTCAGATAAGAGACAGTGTAGCCTGGATAGTGGGCGGGGCAAGAGACTCAGAAGAGACCCTCCCTAATTTTGGGGGCTGTAAAGGAGATGGGGGAAGAATTGTACTTTCAGACTTATAAGATTCTGTTAATGTAACTTTACAATAAGTAGAATTAGCTCAACTGGTCATGTTTCCTGTTTGGTCTACCTAGTAAGGCTGACAGGTCTTAGGCTTCTAACAGCCGCCGCCGCCGCCTCCTCCTCCTCCTTATTATTATTATTATTATTGCCACCCATCTCAAATTCATGATTCTGAGCAATTAACAAAAACCACATAGCAGACAAGGGGGGAAAGAAACCCATACAGTCAACACAACCAGGAAATGGGCTCCATCACACACCCAGGGCCCCAGGCTTGAGCAAGGAACCAAATCTTCAAGGCCTTGTGGAAGGCCAGCACAGCCAAGGCCAATCTGATCTCCGAAGGGATGATATTCCAAAGGACAGGTGCCATGGCAGAAAAGGCTCTCCTCCTGGGTCCTGCCAAATTACACTCCATAGCAGATGGGACACAGAGCATGTCCCTCCTGCTGGACCCAATGGGATGGGTAGAAACAGCCATGAAGACAGTTCTGTAAGTAGCCTGTCCCCAAGCCATGAAGGCTTTTAAAGGTGACGCCAGCGTCTTGAATTGTACCTGGAAGCATACTGGTAGCCAATGCAGCTTGTGGAGCAGAGATATCACATGAGCCACTGCATTCTGCACCCGCTGAAGCTTCTGAATGCTCTTTTAAGGGCAGCCCTATGTAGAGTGCCTTACTGTAGTCCAGTCAGGGGATTACTAGGGCTTGAGTGACTGAACAGAGCCTTCCCATCCAGGAAAAGGTGCAACTGATGCACAACCTGTAGGTATGCAAAGGCCCTCCTAGACACAGCTGGCAACTGTTCCTGAAGCAAGAGCCACGAGGCTAGGAGGAACCCCAAACTGCACACTGGTTCTGTCTGAGGCAGTGCAACCCTATCCAAAACCAAAGATGAAAGGTACCCGGAACCAGGGGGTCCAAAAACCCAGAGCCACTTGGTCTTGCTAAGGTTGAGCTGAAGCCTGTACTTGTTAGTGTAAGGCATAGATGGTTTGAGTCTAAATCTGTAGATGGTTTTATTATTTTTGCTTAGGAGGGTATTCTAATTATTGTAAAATTTCGGTAAACACAGAGGTAATTGCTACATTCACATCCTGCTGACACTAAAATCTTGGGTCAGGAGCAATTACAGAATAATTTGTGTTTCTTATTTGTCTCAAAAGAGGAACTCAGTATATGAGTTTTTTTATTAGGCATCCTAGAATCCAGATTTTGTAAAAGGAGACTATCTACGTTTAACTCTGGAAGCAATAGAAATAGATGTTTTAAATTATAGTGAAATTGCTTTGAAATAGGTTATCATATAGGAATGGGGTTTTTGAATTAAGATTAATCAAAAAAAGTTTTGATTTGTGCATGAAAAGATAACTTACTGCTATATTAAAAGCCACTGAGATTGAATGTAGCATTTCAGTAGCATTTATGTTTCAAAGATGTAGAAATTAACTTTGGTTATATTAGTCATAAGGAATTGTTAAGAGAATTATTTTGAGAAATCATTTTCCCATTAATCAAAAAATAATGCAATATGTTTGCCATAGATTTCATGTTATTTTACAAGAATAGAGGTTATTTTTAATTTGAAATTTTCATATATTGTTTAATACTTGATGTACAGATGACTTGCCTAAATAGTTCATAATTTTTTCCTTTTTCCTTTTGTTTGTCATTGTTTATTATTAATTATGTTCTGGTTTTTATTTTTGTTTATAGTTCTTGGGGTTTTGTAGCTGGGCAGATTTTTTGTATTTTTATCCAGTTTTAAAAACTTGTAATAAAATAAAATTTTAAAAGTATTTCAGTAGTAGTTTGTTTCATACAATAATGGCTGCTCAAAATGATTTTCTTTCATTTTAACATTGTAATTTTTTTAGTATTAGTATGAGCACATGATTGAAAACCTTCTTTTCTCTCTCTCTAATTGTTTTCAGTCCCATTACTGCATGGCAGTTCAAAAGCAGAGGAGGTTTTAGAGGACAATTCCCAGTCAAGGACACCAGTTTCGGGGACCTTAATTACAAACTCTGGCACTGATCTTTCCAACTCCAAAAGTGCCATCTCAAAGACTTGCTTGTCATCTCCATTGTCACTAAGTGTAACAAACAGAACAGTGGATCCTCCGTGTGCTACATTTGGAAGGGCACCAATTCGATTTGATTACTCCATGACCCCAAGATCTGTTCAGACTCAGAATTTAGCAAATCTGAATAGAATCGGCAGCAAACTAGGTGATTCATCCAAATTTAATGGGGGGTCTAAGCTATCTGTGGCCCCTCTTTCTCCACCTTCTAAACTGTACAACAACTCCAGTACCATTTCAAAAACAATTTATGTCAAGAAGCCTTTGAAATCATCTCCTAAAAGACCTGATATCTCTGAACTTCCAAGAATACCAAAAATTAAAAAGGAAACAAACAGTGGATATCTACAATCTGCCAGTGACCGAAATAATAACATTCCCAACTCCTGTATAACACAGTTGACTGGCAAAGGGAACACAAACCAGCCAATCAAAAGCAACAAAATGGAAAACAGCAAGCCACATGCTACTCAGCAACAAACACACGCAGCAGGAGTCACTTCTTCTGCAAACGTTACTCATGGCAGTTCCTCGCTTTCTTCAGCAAGGGGAAAAGTTGGAAGTTCCTCCTTTGAAAGCTTTAAAATCAACATCCCTGGAAATATGGGGCATTCCAACAGACTGTCTAATCCCGGATTTTGCAATACTTTTCGACCAGTGGACAATAAAGTGCAACAGAAAGACCCTTCACCCCTTTTTTCACTAAAAAAAGCGAAACCTGTCAAAAGTGAAATATATGATCCATTTGATCCCACAGGCTCAGATTCAAGTTCAACACATAGTAGCCCTGAAAGATTACCGCTCACTAATATTACCAGAACAATATCCATAGCAAGTCCAAAACTTCAGACGTTCCAAACAGTGCGCCGCATTACTCCTTACCCACTGGAAAATATCTTTGGATCTGAGGTTGAGTTGTTGGATGCACCATCAGGTAACACAGAATCTCATAATGATATGGTAATAAAGGAGAGATTTGTAGAACAGGTCTCTGATGCAGAACAAGATAAAGTTGATGATAAGGAATTCTCAAGTATACCCTGTACCTCCTCAGCTATTAAGCAAGTTACTGATGCAGAACATTTAAATGACAATGATAAAGATAGCCCTGGGATAGTTTTTGAAGATGATCGGGATACAGTTAGGATAGAAAAGGAATTAGGTAGTCCCTTAATAGAAAAAGAGCAGCCAAACATTCTTAAAAGTGAGCAAGCAAGAAAGCGATCTTTTTCAAGATCCCCATCAAATTCCAGTTGTCAGAGCCAGAGAGAAATTAAACTTAAAAAGACAGATACAAAAGAATGCAAGCATACTAAATCAAGATCTAGGTCAAGGACACGTTCAAGGGATAGAAGTTCCAGATCAACTTCCCACTCGGTTGAGAAAAAGTATAGCAAAAGCCATGGAATTAAAACAAAAACTCGACAGTCATCGAGTGACTGTTCCAGTAGCCACGAGCGATCAAAAAAAAAGAAAGCAAAAAGTAAAACTAAAGACAAAAAAATAAGTTTCTGGCCAAAAGAGCATAAGAGATCTAGATCACAATCTGGTAGTCCTGGCAACTCTTCTTTTGAGTTATATGGAAGCAGGAAAAAGAAAAAGCACTCTACCTCTAGAGCAAGAGATCAAGAATGTTCCCGATCAAACAGTGCTGAGAGAACTAAAAAAAAGAAACACAGAAGAGAGAGAAGCTATGATAGGTGTGAGAAGGAGAGGACTTCAAGATCAAGAGATAGAAAAAGATCTCGATCTCGGGAGAAGCATAAAAGGCAATCAAGATCACCTCCTGTATTAAAACCCCATGAATCAAAAGGATCTAAATCTAAGGAAAAGCCACTACAATCCCAATCATGCTCCAAAGAAAGGAAACAAAAGCCAAAAGAGATGTCTCCACTACCTCTTCAAGAAAAAGAGCTCAGATCTTTGGATGACGAAATCAGCAATTCTTTTGAGCATTCTCTTTCTCGGGTGCAAGTGTTGGAAAACACAGAGCAAGAAACGATGAATATTCATTGTGATCTAATCCCTGTACAAGACATTTCTTCAAAAGATAACATAATTAAAGTTGCATTTGAAGATTCTACTAGAGTGGATGATGATAAGTTAGGTAATGAAATACTTCATTCCCAGCTGGATTGCACAGATTCTGAAGCACTACCTGATTATATAGATTCTTCCATTGAGAATGAATTAATAGTAGACTATGATTCATCAGGACTTGATAACCAAAGCAGTGAGAGACAGCAGGAAATTGAAATTAAACAAGATGACAACGATGTATGCCCTTTCTTAACAGATTCTCTTCTAGAAAAAGAAGAATATACACCAAGTTGTGATGAGGCAAGCCTAACTCAAACTTTGCCTGAAAGCAAAATGCCCATATTGTCAAAAGACGTGGACCCTGTATCAGTTGAAACTACAGTTGATATAAATAAGGCTGAACTGGAAGCGGTAGTTCAGAGTCCTGTGTTGAAATCTAAAGCATTAGTGAAAAGAGTTACGTGGAATCTTCAAGAAGAAGAAAGTGACATGGTGACCATAGATAAAACAGCAAGTAAGTAAGGTGGCATTTTTTAAATATAGAAAATGTAAATAACTGAATAAAATCCAGTTTTTTCCCTTATAAAAATTGGAAGGAATTATGTTCATCTTGATTTTATGTTAGTCTCCTCTTATTAAATAATACGCCATGCTGAATTTAAAAGTAATGTTTCAGAGAAAGTGAAATAAATTCAAGGCATATTGATTTCAGTCAGATTTATGTCTTTTCAGATCCCTGAGAACATTTCCTGATGTAGTAATCTCTGTTGGTTCTACTTGTCATATGTTTTTTATGTACTGTACTGTCTCACATGATGGATTCTTAATTCTTAGTCAATGTGTTTTTCCTGCTTTGGTCTCCCTTACACTTTTATGCCTTCCGAACTGGCATTTGGCCTCCAAGCCAGTATTATAAACCAAAGTTTGACTGTAGTTTGGGGGGCAATTGCAAATCATAACTTTCTAGTTTAGATGTAAATGCCAAAGGAATTGTGAGGCATAGTGTTAACTGAGTCATGGAGTTCCCTACACATACGAATACACAGTATATGCTTTTAATCAATAGGAATATATTATATGTCTTTAGGATTCAGTTGCCTCCATCCTTATTCTGGAATCACGTTAAGTATGCTAAATATCACCCAACATAGGGTGTAATGTGCTAGTCAATTTGAATGTAGAGGCATTTCTGAAAACTCAGAATAGCCTTTGTGCTAGAATAAGATTTGTTTCAAATGTATTCTTAAGGAGATCTACTGTTGGCTAGATAAAGATGTGTTACCTGCTGTGATTATATGGATATATTGCTATGCTGAAATTATTTTCTTCTTTTGGGGAATTTTTAGGGACGCCATTCTGTAAACAGCAGAGACTGAAAGAAGGGGTCTGGAAAGCCGAGGATTTGACCCAAACGTTAAATCAGGTGCAGTTAACTGAGCCTCCTCCAACCAATTATATGATTCCTGAGCCTATGTTTCCTGATCTAGATTCCTCTCAGGTTGGTTCCCACTCCAGAAGTTGAGCATGATGGAAGGCCATTCCACTCCCATCTGTGAACTTGTGACCCGCTTGATTTCATTGCAGAATGCTCTTCCTCCTCTACATGCAGTACATTTCATATTGCCCAGGCTCCTGAGTAAGCTTTGGATTACAATCTATTCTACTTACGATCTCTGCCTTCCGCTAATTCATTTTATGATATTTTAAGAACAATGATTAGGTTCCATAAAAACATTTTTTGTAGTTCAGGCCCATTCATTGTTCATCAGTAATAGGAGTGAGGCCCTTTTGAATTGGCAGTAGGTTATGCAAAGTTCTGGTGAAGACAGCTCTTCTTGGAATGTGTGGGGGGTCTTCAGGCTCAGTGTTTTAGCATAAATGGTGATTAACTTCTGTTTCTCTTCTTTAGGTCTACAACCAGAACCTGCCTTTGACAGCACCACTTCCTTCAGCTCTCCCCCCTTATGCGCCTGTCAGTCAGCCCACTGTTCAGTTCATCATACAGGGGAATCTTCCTCTGCTTACCTGCATGGCAGGGCAGGGGTTAATTCCGGAACCCGGCAATTTGGCCACAGCTTCAGAACCAAGTATTCAGGCCGCTGCCACAGGAGATGCAGAGGAAAAAGTCAAGGCATCTAAGTCTCCAGTGGATAAAACAAAAAATGAAGAGGTGGGTGGATGTGAGTGGCTAGCTAGATGTTGTGTTTGAAGTCAGTTGGCCCCATTTTTAACGATATAAAACCTAAAAATTGAACTGCTGATCCTGAACATCTTTCTTGATGGTTCTACCTATTATTTGGTTCCACAAGTGCATCACTAACCATTGGACAAATAATTGTTGGAGGTGTCCTTTATAAAAGTACCTTCTTCTTTAAGGCATCTAAGTTAGTTGCTGTAACCCATGGTTGTGGCCAGGAGTTCCATAAATTAATGTTGCAGTTCATAAAGTTTGTTGTAAACTCCTGCTGATCAGTTTCATCAAATGATCTCATGTTCTAGCTTCTCTCCATTCAGTATTTGATCTGCATCATGTTCTTCCTTTTCCTAAAAAAAAAGCCTGTATCTCATTGGCCCTTTTCAAGGTACAGAATACAGAAGGTATTCTCTCTGCGCTGATTTATGACATCAGTTCTGGCTGTGGTCATTCAGCAAATCACCATGGGTCACTAAGCACTACATCACATGACCACAACTTGCGACTTCCTCCCGGCTTCCCCATTGACTTTGCTTGTCCGAAGTTGGCAGGAAGATCGCAAATGGCGATCATGTGACTGTGGGACGCTGCGACTGTCGTAAATGCATGCTGGTTGCCAAGTGCCACAATCACAATCACATGACCATGGGGACACTGCAACAGCCGCAACTTCAAGGACCAGTTGTAAGTGTCCTTTTTCAGTGCCATTGCAACTTTGAATTGTCATTGAATGAGTGATTGGTAAGCAAGGACTACCTGTACAACAAATATAAATTAATGTTTAAGGTATTGCCTCTGAGTTTCTATTCAGATCACACTTAAAGTGCTTGCTTTCTTATGAAAGGCAAACACTTATCTTTTCCAAAGAACTTAAAGGGAGAACAGTTGGTGATATTAATTCTGAGGAAAACATTCAAGTTAATATAATAATGTATAGTATCTTATACAGTAAAAAACAACCTCCCCTCCCCTCCAAAAACAGGTTAGACCCCGAATGATCCCAAAATTCCAACTTCTGTTGTGTTGCACATTGATGGTCAGTGGGTGAAATATAAAAAATGTAGTGCCAGTGCAGCAAAAATGTTGTGTGCCTCTGTCCAGTAACAGAAGGTGTTTTGATTGGCAGTTTTGAGATGCGGATTGCATGTGGATCTTTGAATTAACCTAGTGTCTTTCCTTGCAGTACATGAAGAAACTTCACATGCAAGAGAGAGCGGTGGAAGAAGTGAAACTTGCAATTAAGCCCTTTTACCAGAAGAGGGAGATCACAAAGGAGGAATACAAGGATATTCTTCGGAAAGCTGTGCAAAAGGTTGGAATTGTGGAATTGTTATATTCTCATCTTAGGGTGGCTGTGATAGTGTGTGTTGAAAGAAAGAACAGAAAGGTAAGTAAGCAAACATGGGTATGGTTGTATGTATATAGCTTTGGGGCTGGTTTTTAGCAACAGACACAGTAATATCCTGCCCCTTCAAATAGCAAATCTGAAGTCAAGAAATGCAGAAGGTTGCTGCTTGCATTAATTCCTGGACTTGACTTACAAACAGCCCCCTTGTTCTCTTTACAGATCTGTCATAGCAAAAGCGGTGAAATCAACCCTGTGAAGGTGGCTAATCTTGTGAAAGCTTATGTGGAGAAATACAAACATATCAGGAAACACAAAAAAGACCAATGCTGAAGAAGAGCTTCATGACTAAACCAAGAAACGAGAAGTGCTTGTGGAAGACGCAGGAAGTTGGCTAGATGATGACGTTTTTCTTCCCTTCGAGGGAGGCAGGAATATACCATTGCATGTTGCAATCCCTTCTCTTCCCCACCCCTGAAAACTGGATGCAGAAGACCTTCCTGCAGCTAGACACATTTTCACATAGGAGCACATCTCCTTGGAGTTGACTGCTGATTGAGAAACACTTGGGTCAGCATATTCCCCCTTAACCTCTGAAGAAACTCTGGGGAAAGGAAGTGTGCGTGTGTGTATATGGTGGGGGTGGCCTAATTATTTGTCATGGTTTTACTTCAGCCTCCTTTTTTCTTTGGTCTGTGCACCTCTCCCCAGGGTTTAAAACACTTTTATATCCAGCATACAACAGTGTATGCTTCTCCCATTGTGTTCTTATTTATGAAAAATATGGATTCTTTTGTGATTCTCAGAAATTGGTTTCATACTTGAACCGTGGTATTTTTTTGGCTGTCCTATGAAAGAAATATTGGACTTGTTCTGTCAAATGGGACATGCAGATGTATGTTAACCTTTATAAATTTTTTTCTGAAAATCTTGCTATAGAGGTGGTAATTATTTACGCTTTGTTACAATGTCTCAATGAGGAACTTCATTTGGGATCTCTGGGGCAGTGTGACAGTGAACTGAGTTGTGTGATGCTTCATGTGAATAATGTACTGAAGGCCGGTTCTGAGTCTATTTTGCATTCAACAAACTGCCTTTGAACAAGAGAGATGGAGAAGAGCAGAGTTTGAAAAGCAAACCCAAGACTATGTATAAAGCAGAAATCTTACAATTTATAAAATTATTTTGAATTGTTTCTTACTCATATTTGTTCATTTGTTGATTGTGGTCTTATTCCTGATTTCTGATGTTAATCAAGATCAAGTGGGCACAATTTTCAGGAGCTTCACTTTCTTTAAAATTTTTAATTTTTAAAAAAGAGTATAAACAAGGAAGAATAGAAGACATATAAAAAGAATAAAAGGTAAACTATGGTAGTAGTTGTTCTCTGTCTATTCTCAGTTGTGGAATTTTTTTTTTAGGCAGGTGAGCACATTCTCAAATCATATAATGGGCTGTTGCAATTGACCATTTTATTGTATAGGAATGTTGGTCCTAGAGTAATTCTTTAAATTAAATAATATGGTAGAGGCTGATCTTTGCAGCATGCCATGTTTTCCTTTAAAAAAAATAAAATTAATAAATAATTTTTAATTAAATAAAAAGTTAAACATTCATAGAGCTGAAAATTAGGTGGACACCAAAAGGAGGATTTGACAGACATCCCATTACTGCCTTTAACATAAATCTTTTTTGTTTAAAGGACGACTTAAGCCACTTCAAGTTATCAGAGTGCATGAAGATAATTCTTGGATGTTTATTTTCCCCTAGGATTTATTATTGGGCATCCCACATTAACAACACCCCTAAGTGGCATGTGCTGGAGTAAGGTGGAAGAATGACATTTAGCGTTCCTAAGGGATAGTGATACATTCCATCTATTGACTTAACTTCCAGGCCATTTCCACTATCTTAGGAGCTCTGCTGCAGTGGGAAAGAAATTGGATAGGAGTGCATGCTGAGATTGCTGCTGTCAAATTGCCAAGACTGGTGATACATTAGTGTAACTTTTCTAATAGCTCCAGGATCTCTTTTTTAAAAACTAAAAAACAAAACAAAGCATTTTCTTCCTCCTTCCAATTTGACAAAATTAGTTCAGGTATATATTGAATTAGTACAACATAATGCTTAATTAATACATACTATTTTTGCCCTCTTTTGGCTTTAAAAGCCACAAAGTGATACACAACAAATACACTATTAAATCCATCAAAATGACTTCTAAAAACATTCAGAATGAAATGAATGAAAAGTTTCCAAAAACAGAGTAAGAAGGGTGTCATATGAAGTTTGTAATGTTGCACCTTACACAGTTTGGGAACAATATACAGTAGATCACATTGTTTTTGTGTGTGCCCTTCAATGAGACTTGTAGGAATGGCAGGCTCCTCACTAACGTTCTACAGCTGGTTTTAAGAGATGGGCAATTCGTGGGGAAATACGTTAATGTTCAGTGGAGGAATTATTTACAGTGTAAGTAGTTAAACTACCCCATCTGGAGGACATTTTGTTCCCTGAACAGTTTCCAGTACTTTAAGGATGCTTAAATGCTTTTTTTTTTTTTCCTGTGAAATAAAGCAGCTAAGGTTCAGCATTTCTAGCCAATGCTTTAGGTTTGTCCTTCATTGGGGTTGACTAATGAGAGAGTGGATCAAATGATTAATTTATAATCCACCCCAATCCAAAAGGACTCAGGCAGCCAACAGCAAGACACAACATTAAAAATGTGTAATGGAGACAATAAAAAGCAAAAGTTATTAGTATAATCAACAATACCCATGACAGCCATCCACAATCAGTCAGAGGTTTAGGCGTGCTGGAACAGCGCTTAGTTAAGTTTTCAAAATATAAGAATAGTGGCTACCTGAAATTCTGCAGTAAGGGTGTTCCAAAGAATGGAGGTTACCACAGGAAGGGCTGTCCACATGTCATGAACCTCTCCAAAAGGGGAAACTCAGCAGATCCTCTCTAGATGTCCTGAACAGACTGGCTAATTGAACACTGGGAAGGCATTGCCTGATGTATCTCAGTACTGTGTAGGGCTTAAAAGCTGATAATCAGCACTTACAATTGGGCCTGGAAGTCTACTAGATTATAATCTAGGAATACATTTCCAAGCTGATTGATTGATGAGGTGCTATCAAGTCATTTTCAACTTCTAGTGACCACATAGATAGATTTTCTCGATGATCTACCTGTTTTTTCAAGTTTCCCAATGGTGCACTCATTGCCGCTATAACTGAGTTCATCCACCTTGCTGCTGGTCATCCTCTTCTCTTTCCTTCCACCTTTCCCAGCATTAGAATCTTTTTCCAGAGAGCTGGGTCTTCACATAATGTGCCTGAAGCAGGATAATTTGGGCCTGGTCATTTGTGCCTTGAGAGAGAACTCTGGGTTGATTTGTTTGATGATCCATCGGTTTGTTTTCTTGGCCGTCCATGGTATTCTCAGGAGTCTTCTCCAACACCAAAATTCAGAGGCATCAATATTCTTCCTATCCTGCTTCTTTAAAGTCCAACTTTCATTTCCATAGAGTATCACAGGGAATATCATAGCTTGCACAATTCTGATCTTTGTAGGTATAGACACATCACAGCATTTGAATATCTTTTCCAAGGTCTTCATGGCTGCTGTACCAAGTGCTAGTCTGCTAGTCTATTTCTTGACTGTTTGTTCCTTTACTGTTGCTGGTTGATCCTAAAAGGGAGAAGCTATCCACCACTTCAATATCCTTATTGTCAGTTCTAAGGTTTGTTGTTCTACATGTGGTCATTAGTTTGGTCTTCTTTATATTTAATTTTAGTTTCATTTTTTCACTGTGCTCTTTGACTTTTAGTACTAGGGCTTGCAGATCCTTTGCATTTTCAGCTATCAGGGTAGTGTCATCAGCATAGTGCAGGTTATTGATGTTTCTTCCAATTTTAAAAGCACACTCATTTTCCAATTCAGCTTTCCTTAATATATATTCAGCATACAGATTGAATAAATAAGGGGAGAGTACACAACCTCGTTGCACTCCTTTGCCAACCTGGAGCCAGTCTGTTTCGCCAGATTCTGTCCGTACTGTGGTTTCCTGACCTGAATATAAGTTTCTCATGAGGACAATGAGATGTTCTGGGATTCCCATTTTTCTGAGCACTTTCCATAGCTTGACATGATTGACATAATCAAAGGCCTTTCTATAATCGATGAAGCACAGCACTGACTTCTTTTTGGTATTCTTTGGCCTTCTCAATTATCTAGCATGCATCAGCAATAATGTCTTGTGTTCCTAGCCTTTCCTAAAGCCAGCTTGAACATCTGGCATCTCTTTTTCCATGTAGGGTTCTAATGTGTGTTGGATGATCCTAAGCATTATTTTGCTAGTATGTGAAATTAAGGATCTTGTACAGTAGTTTGCACACACTGTTAAGGCTCCTTATTTTGATACTGGAATATAGAATGACCTATTCTAATTGGTTGGCCACTGTGTCATTCTCCAGATTTGCTGACATAGCTTGTTTAGAACCCTGACTGATTCTCCTTCTGTTGCTTGCCATATTTCAGTGGGTATTCCATCAGTTCTTGTAGCCTTCCGACTTGTTAATGACTGGAGTGCTGATCTAACTTCATTTTGTAGTACTAGAGATTTTTGTAAGTAAAGAATACCTTGTAAGGTGTCTTGGATGTTGACGTCTCTACTATATAGTGTTTCTACTGTATACTCTTAGTGTCTCCTACTGTATACTTCTAGTGTCTCTACTGTATACTCCTTCCATCTTCCTTTGATCTTGTTCGAATTGGTTACTATCTGTCCATTGGCATCCTTTAGCATACCAGTTCAAGGATGGAACCTCCTTCTGAGTTCAGAGATCTTTTGAAAGACTTTCCTTGTTTTTCCATGTCTGTGTTCATCTTCAATGTCTTTACAGATGTAATACTGCTTCTTGGTCTCTTCTAACAGCTCTCTGAAACTCTTTGTCCTTTTCTGAGATTTTTGTCTTTCTTGGCTTTAGCTTCTCTTCTCTTCTCTTCTTGGCAGTTTCCAGTTTTAAAATTTAAAATTCCACAGCAGATTTCTAATCATTGTTAAATGTAGATATGCCAAAAATGGGAATATTTGTGGGCCATGTTTTTTTGATTATACGTTATCAGGAGTAGTATGAAAGAATTCTCTTCATGAGATCAGATCTTTTCATTTAACTGTAGCAAGTCTTTTGTGCAGACTGTGCCAGAATATGGAATTTATTAAGGCTAAGAGAATGGCCAGCAGCAAGGTGGATAGACTCAATTACAGTGGCAATGAGTATACCTTTTGAAGACTGAAAGATCAGGTTAGGGGCAGATCATCATGGAGAAAATCTATCTATGTGGTTGCTAAGAGCCAACAACAACTTGGTGGCCCATAATCAGTCAATGAGTGTACCAGAACATTAGATTACAATGACAAGAAGCTACTGTAAGAAAGAAACATGGAGGAAGAGTGAGAATGGAAGAGACCAGGGCAAGGATGCATATTTTCCTGATGAAAGGAAGGGTGCGCTGCTGGGAAAATGCCCACCCCAATACCCCTCTTTCCCTTGTCCTTTTCAAGGTCTTCATCTGTGAATCAAAGCATACTGGGTGTTTAGAAAGGAACCAGATGGGATTTGCTGGCAGGTCATCAGAATTGCTGCAGACTCATTGAAGGCTGGAGAATACCAAGGGACAAGAGCTGAATCCCACCAAGAACATGGAGAGGATGCAGGACAAAAAGGTTGGGGCAGTTGGTGGCAACAGATGGACTGGTAACAGTGCTATGGTTCAGAGTAAGTGTTTTGTATCTTATGTAAACATGAGCATTGCTTGGATGGCAAGAAGGACCAGTCATTTAGCTCTGATGGATGACTCCCTTGAGTCAATGAAGATTATCCAGAAACTCATTTTTTTTTAATTTTATGTTTTAGATTTTTTTAATCCCACCTTTATTATTTTTATAAATAACTCAAGGCGGTGAACATACCTAATACTCCTTCCTCCTATTTTCCCCACAATACAACCCTGTGAGGTGACTTGGGCTGAGAGAGAGTGACTGGCCCAAAGCCACCCAGCCAGCATTCATGACTAAGGCAGGACTAGAACTCACTGTCTCCTGCTTTCTAGCCTGGTGCCTTAACCACTAGATCATAGGTACGTGATTAGGGCTGGCTCCAGACATTTTGGTGCCCTAGGCAAAGACATATTCTGGTAACCCCTATGGTTTGGCTCATCTTCTCATTTTGTTAGGAATTTCAAAAAGATGCCCTCTTGATTATTTTTTTTCTTTGAGTTGTTGAGCTTACAATTTTCAGCCCTGACATTTTTTCTTTTCTCAGAAATTTTCACTCTAAATAATTTTAATTTTAATTACATCGTAATTACATGTCATTTTAATTATATCTGCACCTATTGTTGTCATATGGCAACACTTCCGCAAAACTGTATTTAACACTTGAGTGGGTACCCTGGCACACTGAGTGTGCCATTACTGCTTTTTGCTTTTTGCTTGTGTTTATTGTGTTTTTTGGAAGTCTTTTCAATTTTGGCCCTGAATTTGGCACCATATGTGACTGCCTGGGTTGCCTAGACCTAGAACTGGCCCTGACATGATGCGAGCAAATAATGAAGTTTTAAAAAATGATAGTGCTCAGCAAGGTTGCAAGTAGTAAAAGATGATATAAACAGTGGATAATAAGATGGAGGGAAGGGATCAAAGATACTACTGGAATGTGTTTACAAGAGCAATGAGTGGCTGCTAGAATTAAGCTGAAGTGGCAAGCATTTGTCCATACAATCACCAGGAATCATACCCAACTCAGTAGCACCTGTTTAAAATGGTACTTCATTGTTTGGCTGTCCCATCACTTTGGAACTCACATTCTCAACCCCCCTTAAAATTCCCAACTAATTAAACATACACAATCCTCACAAGCATCTAAGATAGATAAATGCCTTAATCCTAAATTGTATATTTGGGCAGCCAACTCTTAATTAAAACACACTAGTAAAATCTAGGTTTATAAATCAGCTTTTTAGACATTTCTCAATTTAGCTCCACTCAATTTCAGCTAAATCAGCTATTTCATTAGGGACATCTTCAGGAAGTTCTCATCTTGCCTAACTGAGATTTGGAAGCCAAACATTCTTTGTAGCTTCTGCTAATTAAAAAAAGAACCTAATCTTGCCATTTTATTAACTCCTACTTGGAAACACATTCAGTAGCATTGAATTCTTGACAAACGTACATAGGATCATTCTGTAAACTGGTCATGTTAAAAGAATGCCTCTAAAGTAGAAATAACAAACTGTGTGTAGGCACTTTTTGTAAAAATTGGAGTTGACACCAGAAGACCTTACTTTCAACAATGTTATTCTTGCTGTCCTTTCTCCCCTCTATGAACAATGATAAATAAATCCACTATCTATCTTCTGATTTGACTAATTTCAGAATTATGATATCACAAACAAGGGACACAATGCCAGTGGAAAGCACCAAACATAAGGGTTGCAAGCAATAGTATCTGTCCCATCACTAAAAGAATCCTTCAGTGAAACAATTACCATCCCTCCACACATGCTCAAACACCATGTACACCAACACATCTGTTTTCTGGGATGTGTCCCCAGACCAGCTACAAAGTTAAAAATAAAACAAAGTATTACTAAGAATTTCAGCAGATTCTCACCTTAGGTCAAATGTTTTCTGTACTGCCTAAACCTTTTTTTCCTTAGATTTTGTTTGTCCTGCCTTTTTTAAAATGATGATGATGATGATGATGATGATGATGATGATGGGTGGTTGCACAGCCAGCCAGATGTTTAGACTGGATTTGGCATTTTTGTCCACCTATCGAGGCCTTCCCAAGGACCTGGGATAGGCAGATGTTGTTGTTTAATGGTGTTAAAGGTATCATTGCAGGATGTAAGCTGTTGCAAGTAAAGCTGCCTTTTGCAATTGATTGATGGTGATTTTGTCAATGCTGATGGTGTTCAAGTGGTGCTCCAGATGTTTTGAGATTGCACCTAAGGCTTCTATAACTATTGGTACATCATCATTATTATTATTATTATTATTATTATTATTATTATTATATAAATAACTCAAGGCGATGAACATACCTAATACTCCTTCCTCCTCCTATTTTCCCCACAATACAACCCTGTGAGGTGGTTGGGCTGAGAGAGAGTGACTGGCCCAAGGTCACCAGCCGGCTTTCATGCCTATGGCAGGACTAGAACTCACTGTCTCCTGGTTTCCAGCCTGGTGCCTTAACCACTAGACCACACGGGCTCTCAAACTTGCATGGCATTTACTGAAATCGGTAAGATCAGACATTTAAAGGGACGTCATACCCTTAAGAAAGGCTAGTGTTACAACTGGCATATGAAATTATGTTTTTTTAAAAAAACATTGTATGCATCATTTTTGCGGAAGTGGTTGGGAGCAGAGAGCCATCAGTTTGCTATCTGCGGAGCATCCAGCTCTTCCTCTTTCATTTCCCTTGGGTTGCAGAAAGAGAAGAGAAGGGCTGTACAGTATTTTGAAATAAAGGGAAAAGAAGGTGGAGCTCAGGCCTTTTCAAAATGAAAAGATTTCAAGAAATGAAAGTAGATGGGTAGAGGGTAAGGATACAGCTGCTGCTTGCTAAATAGGGAACAAAGGCCAAAATATGTCTCAGAATGGACCTAGTGAGTATCAGTCTTTAATTCCTGTTGATTTCTACTTATAGTTGAGGAGAAAAGGCAAGACAGTGGGCTGGGGTCTGTAGTATTGTACTACCTGGGTACTTGCACCAGGCCACCCATATGGGCCAGAGGTTGCCCATCCTTTCTTTTATGGACTGGGCTGAAACAACTTTTATGCAACTTTTTTTTAAAAAAGTGATTTCTTTAATTAGCCACCATTGGCTGGGTTCATGCAAGATGCTAAGCCATAAGTCATGTTTTACATTGCATACTAAGCAGCAACTTTAATCAGCTATCCAACAATTGGACCCTCTCATAATCATAAATTACTTAGCATTTACCTGCATTCTTAAAATCAAGTGGCTAAATTATAGTACAAGATTGTATAAACAGCAAAGTCATTCCTTTGCCTCTCCTTTTATGTGATTATGAGATGCCTAATACAGACGTTATTCCTTAATATGCTATTTTGGATTGCACTGTTGGAATTGGGGTATTACTTCAGTAGTACAGAATAAATTATTTTCAGCATTGTTAATACAGATATAACCTAGTTTATTTCTACTTCTGATTTTTTTTTTTAATTTAGAAGGGGTTTTTTGTGTTTTATTGAGAAAATGGGCTTGAGTTACAGTTAGATTCTGTGTTTTCAAACTGGGTGGTATCAGCCATTTTTATTCTCTTATTATTCCTCCAATTTTTGGGACAGTCTTGGGTAATCTGAAATTATCTCTATCTGCAGCTTTTCCCCCATTCTGTTTGAAGCAATATATAATTCATTTTCCCAATACTTTATTGTCAGCCTGCTCTCTTTCCTGCCCTTTCTCTCTCCCCTATCTCTTTCTCTGTCTGCTTTCTGTAACATTTGGCTTAATCAAATCTTTGAGAGACCTTGGAACTGTAACCATTTTTCCCTCCACTACTACTAGATCATCTAAATGGGCTCACCTAATACATAATTTTTCTAATAGTGAGCATTAGAAAAAATTTCAGTCTTTTCCCCCCCTTAATCACAATAACTTGTATCCTCTGTTCTTCAGATCAAGGGCAAGAAGCCTTTCCAAATGAAGTGACACTCTCCAGATTGAGACTCCGAGTTCTTCCACTTGAAGTCCTACAAAATAGCAGTATAGAGAGCCTGAATTTGGACCGGAACAAGTTGAAACATATCACTGGGATTTCACACCTTTGCAACCTGAAAAAACTGATTTTGTCTAAAAATGCTATGACAGACTTTCCAGTGGAAATCCAGAACTTGATCCATCTGGAGAAGCTTGAACTCAATCAGAACCAAATCCGAGATATCCCAGAGGGAGTCTTCTCTTCTCTCCCTAAGTTAAAACATCTCCGACTTAACAACAACCGCTTAGACAGTCTTCCCAATGATCTAGCTGCCTGTCGTGACTGTCTCCAGTATTTAAACTTGTCCACAAACTTATTCCAAGCCATCCCTCTAGTAGTCTTGGAGTTAAAAAACTTGCAAGAATTCTACGTGCAAAATAATTTTTTGCACCAGCTTCCCATAGAAATGTTCAAAGAGCTGCCCCTGAAGATGTTCAAGGTAAATGGGAACTCACTGAGGGAACCCCCAGTTGAAGTATGCGCAGGGGGTATCAGACAGATCATCAGCTATTTCAATCAGCTGCAGAACGGCCAAGCAGAGGAGGACAAGCGGGTCAAGACAATGTTTTTGGGGACATCCTTAGCAGGAAAGTCTACAATCTGCAAAAGCTTAAAGCAGGGACAAATTGTTCGAGTGTCGGAGGAAGAGCGGACTGTTGGAATTGACATAAGTGAGTTCCATTTCCAAGGCTTCACCTTTCTCTTTTGGGATTTTGCTGGCCAGCTGGAATACTATGTGACCCACCATATGTTCATTACTTCACAGGCCCTTGTCATCTTGGTCATTAACTTTCACCAGTAAGTGTTCTCTTGCTTCCCTTGTGAACATTTATTTATTTGTTAACAAGATTTATATGGTCACCCAAATAAGAAATTGTGACTCTGGGCAGCTAATGTAGGTTTCAGGGCACACAACAAAAGCAGCCAATACACTTAAAAAACACAAAGACAGGATGCAATATAACCAAGGCCAAAGTGCAATCATCTTGACGTGCTCAGCACAATCAAGACAGGCTCATCCAACATCCTGGCCCCAATGCTCTGAACATGAAATGTTTTTCAGAGACAGTCCCGTGAATTTCAGCGGAATGGGTAGATCTAAGCATGCACATCTAGTTCTAAAATGAGTCAGACTTAAATGCTTAAACTTTGGCTGGATTTTGGTGGTGATATTATGGGTTCTCACAAGAGGCAATAATTACCATTTTTCTACTACCTCAGTGCTATCTGATAGGTGTGGCATCTAAACCCGAAATGTTTTGCCAGTCCAGCTGAACTCACTTCCAATAAACCGGCATAGGATTGCACTGCGTATTTGCTGAATGAAATACATAATGTATCTACTAAATTAATTTTTCTAGGGTTTTCTGACACAGAAGGAATTTGACCACAAAACTGCAGGAAGGATCCTTTTAATCGGTCCTGCCCACAGGTTTTGAATTTTCAAAAATGGATGTCTGAGTTGAAATCTCAGGCAGTCAAATACAACAGTCAAAAGACTGAATCCTTATTGCTTCCTTTTAAAGTTGAAATGCAACTGAGCATATGGAGAATCCACTTCTCGTATTTAGTGACAGATACTTCCCACTTTTCTGCACATCTTTTTTAAATGGTACATTTTTGTTGGCTTGTCTCTTGTCTCCAACAATCATCTATGATTTTCTCTTAATGGATATATTAAATAATATTTCATCATCATCATCATCATCATCATCATCATCAATAATAATAAAAATAATATTTTAAATAATATCTCAGTTCATCTTATGCTGAGATCATATCTTTGATACACTGGCCCAGCCTTTGAGATTTCAGGAGTAAGGAACTGCTTGTGGTGTCATCCATCAATGGGCAATGCCTGGCAGATGGCTACCTGAGCATCTCCTGGTTTTTTTTATTTTTACTTAAGGAGCTCGGCATTACTTTACAAGTAATGGTATATAACTTTAATGAGGAAGACGAGAAAGAAAAAGAAACTCTAGGTGAGCTGCCAATATTACATGATGGTTGAGACAATTGAAAATACTTGCATTTTAGATAAGCTAGTTTGTCAACATGATGATGGGTCAGCTGGCTCAGTGATCTGTCACTTTTCTTTTTGTAGGTACCAGCTTACCAATGACTCCTTCAAGGATCTTGTTGGATTTTGGATTAGCAACCTCTTTATGCGAGTGCCAAACTCTGTAGTCCTTCCTGTTGGAACTCACATAGATGAATGTTCTGAGGAGGAGGTTGAAGAAAAGAAAAAGGACATCATGCGCAAGATACAGACCATGCTGGAGGAGAGACAGATCAACCTAGCTCACCTTATTGCTAACCTGGAAGACAATGAGGAGTCTGAGTTCTATGAGGACCAGTGGACTCGACTGAAAGAAATGGAAAACTGCACCCTTACAGTAAGGAATACTGTCATATATATTTCATATACAATGATCTCAACTCAGAAAGTGCTGGCATGCAACTGTCCAAACACCTCGGAAAGCGATCTGAGTAGTGATGAGTTGTTGTTGTTTTTCTCCCTGTCCTGAATCTCTAGCCAATCAGGTGGCTCCACGTTCTATGAGAGAGAGGGAGAAACTTTACGGTTGTTCCACTTTTGTCAGGCCACACATAAGCACGTATGGCATCTCCTATTTCACTCCATTCTCCATTAAGCTTCCACAAAAGCTGGATACCAAGCAGTATGTCAGTAATTTCCCCACTTGCTTGCTTGTTAGGAGTTCTCTTTGTCTCTATGCATTTTCTGTTCTAGATTCTAGATCTTGTTCCTGTCAACTGCATGGATTACCTGGACATTAAAACACTTGAAGGAACAATCTTGGAGCACGTCAAGAATGAAAAGCTATTCCCCAATATCATCCAAGTGCTTCCCCCTATTTATAAACAAGTAGAAGCAGCAATTGTGGATATGATGCAAAACAATGAAGAAATGACTGAACATGGCAAGTAAATGTTGTTATCAGTGGGTATTTTATAGATCTCCTCTTTCTTTCTTTTTACTGCCAGATCTTAGCCTTTGGATATGTGTTGCTGTAAGTGTATTTTGCCCCAGCTATATAACCGCAACTAGCTTAGAAGGATTATTTGGGGCATGGCCCCTAAATTGTCTGGGGAGGCCTGAATTAAAACTGAGTTCATTTGGGCACCTACAACTGCTGAGGCAATAGGTGGAGGTTGGCCTTGAGATGGACTTCTCTTTATACAAGCTAAGTTTATTTAGGTACTGAGTTTCCTGAATATTTAGGGCAAGTACTTATTTAAAAAGCATAGAAGTCCAAATACATCAATTAAAATATAGTCTAATTATAAGGCCTGTTGAATAAAAAGTTAATTGACTGGACTCAAAGATTTGGAGCATTAGAAAGAGAGAGATCCCTTTGAATGCAGTTGTCATGGGGAGACTTTCCTTAATTTTGTGTGTGTGTGTGTGTGTGTGTACTTTCCAGTCAGTTTTTGACTCCTGGTAATTGCCTGGTGAAGTCCCTGCAGTTTTCAGAAGTGGTTCTGCCCTGGCCTCCTTCCTAGGGCTGAGAGAAAGTGACTGGCCCACGGTCACCCAGCTGGCTTTGTGCCTAGGTGGGACTAGAACTCCGGGTCTCCCAGTTCCTAGCCTGATGCCTTAACCACTACACCAAATTGGGTCTCTTTCCTTAATTTAGGCAGTCATAATAAATTAAGCATGCTATGCAAAGAAAAGAAAAAGATGAGATCTACATTTCCTACTCAAAGTCACAAATTCAAATTCTTACACTAAGTTGTTGGGGACAACAACATCCCACCACCCACTAAAGGCATATAATTTCAACAGCAACAAGACCACAATGAAAGAACCTTATCTTAAATGTTCAGAACTTAATGCATGGATTGATAACATTATTTTGTGATTCCCATACCTGTGTTTATACCAGAATACCAGAGATCAAAGTTGGACAAGCTAATTTAAATGCCAAAGTAATGATCACTTAGTACAATTGGCCCTATTTATTTTTCCTTTGATGTTGCCCCTTTAGAAGTAACCTGAACCTATTTATTTAACAGCAAGTCTCACTTCTGAAGCGTAGAAGGTACTGTAGATTGATTGCCTCAGATTGATTGTCTTGCAGCAGCTCTCAACAAGCGCTGTTCTGATACTTTAGGGATGGTGAACTTCAGTCTTTTATGTAGCAAGCTCTCCTGCCAGTATCACTTGGTCCACTTGGATAGAGAACTTCTACAGGATATTTTGAGATACCTTCATCGCATTGGATTAATTGTATGGTATGAAAAGATCAAGCAGCTGGAAGGCACGGTGTTCCTCCGTCCAACGATTCTGATCACTCTCTTCAAAGTGAGTACCAGCTTGATTCCGCTGTAGAAGCCTCTTCCAGAACAGTGGGGGCATTGCTTCTCTGAAGTTCGCTAGAAGCCAGATTTCCACAGACCATAGTTGGTTTAAAAAATAATTGTTTGATCATATTTAGAACCTGCCCCCAGTCCTGACAGACACTCTGTGGAGTACAGCAAGTCAAAACAAAGATAAAAAACAAATTTAAACTATTAAAATAATAGCATAAGCAATCTTCCATAGACTCAACAGCAGCTGCCAAAACTTCCTGTTGTGTTTTCTCCCAAGTCCCATTCAGCAAAGATTATTAATGATATGAATGAAAGTACTGGACTTTGGGGAGGAGGGTGGGGTCATTCATGAGCAGCCTCTACATTTTTTGTATTGTCTCTGAATTAGCCCAGTGGTGGTGTTGGTAAATGCTTTCTTTGCATTTTCCTATAAATTTTTAAAAGCAAAATAGTTATTTGAGAACTGCAGTTAAAACCAAGCAGCCCACATGGGTCTCCTTCTCATAGAAAAATACTTCCATTTGGGCAAGGGGGGGCATCTATTTTTCTTGCTCTATTCTACTCCCTTGGCTTCCTGAAAAGCTGCTCTGAGAGTTGAGAGACCCTCCAGAACAGAATAAACATAATGTGCAAAGGATGCAATAAGTAGGCGAGCCAGATACAACAGGTCAAGTTGTATGAGTGGAATGTATTAAGCCACATTGCAGTCCTACCCAGTATCTTTACCTAAACAAGATCAATGCTTGGGGTTCATAATGTTTGCAGCTCCCATGGATCCCTAGGAGATTTCTTGCCCCTGACTACATCCAATGTGAACCTGAAGTCAGTTGTTCGGGAAAGTTATTTCAACACTTTTGATCCCTAGCATGCCGGATCTAAGGATGCCCTTCAGATGACCGTGCCTTCTGCTAATTCACAGGGGAGGCTATCCTGCTGCATTTCTAAGCAGAATATAGGAGATCCTCAGGTAGTTCAGCCCTAACCACAATACAGATCAGGACCTCATAAATATTTCTAGAAATAAAATGATAGTACATTCAAAAGGTTGGGAGAAAAGGGGTTTGGAGAAAGGAAGGGCAAAGCACTAGCTTTAAACTGGAGAGGCTGGGAAATGGAATAAGGCAACACTAATGATTGGCTGCATCCACGTGTTATGTGGGTCACTTTGAAGTATGGATGGTCACTTGGCATTCTGATCGTATCTTACAGCAGAAAACCAATGGTTTGTAGCAGTATGCTAGTCAGACTAGAAGTGGATATCCTGTCCAGAAGCACCAGCTAAATGGCAAGCCATCCACTTCAATGCAGGAATTCAAAATAAGATTCCAGATTATGTTGCAGGATGGAATAGCAAACATACGTATTGATTTAGCTCCATACCAGCTACTGAGAGGAAGAACTTTTCAAAGTTTCTTTGTATGTTTCAGCTTAACTTTGCTGGAAACCATATTTCCTTCACTTTGCCACTTCCAACAAGAAGTAAAAGGCAGTGGGGTATTTTAGGGCATGCTCCAGACTTGTGGGACAAGTTCATGTCCTGTTCAAACCCAGAGGGCCAGATGCAAAAGAGTGGCCTGGGGATGGGGGCACAGGTAGAGTGGAAGAATAGCCTGATAATTTTTGTTTCTGAGCTGAGATCTCAGTTCATAAACTTGCTTAAGAGGGGGGTAGGACAGAAGGAGTGATTTTATTGTTGCTATGATTAAATATTTAGGAATTAGAAAATAATCTTTTAGGAAACATTTAGGAACCAATAACAATAACAAACAAGACACCAAGAGATCTACTCATAGTTCTTGATTCATCTTCAGTCAGCTCCTCTAGGAAAATTGTGAGCCTACTTGGGTACAAATGCTTTTGTTTTTCCAGACTCTTGTGAGGCATGGCCTAATGCAACAGCTGGAGAGCATTTCTGTGGACATCTTGATAGGAGAACATGCCACCATCCGAGACCAGGCCAACTGGGTGCTGACATTTAAATCCAAAGCCATGCTATGCCAGAAAGCCATGAGAGCTTTGCTTAAGCACCAGCTTTCTTTAGACAACATGGTAGACATCTTTGAGGAAATGGTGGGAAGCAGATTCCAGAAGGGGAAACTCTTCAGCCTGCTAGAGCACTTTGAGATCTGCCTGGAGATCAGAAATGTACAAGGGCTTAATCCTAGAGCCAAAGCATTTGTGCCTGGGAAGCCATGGGAAACTCTGCAAAGCCAGGACAAGGACACATGCTACTTATTTCCTAACTATCTCAATCAAAGTCAGGAGGTTTCGGCAATGTGGGGAAAAGATCACCCAGAGGACCTGCATATTCACCTGTACTTTTCTCCTGAGATCCCGGAGGGCTTCTTCCAAAGGTATTGAATATTATCTGCTAAGTGTCAAAGATAATGACAAGCCAACATGTGGCCAATATCTACAACTGAGGGCCTCTTCAAAGTTGATTTATATAAGTAGGGATCACATATAAGGATGAGGCAACCAGTATTTACTGGACAATTCCTGACAATATGCCTCCTGTAACTTGCAAAACTGTGTTGGAGTGAGGGTTTTGCTGGGTGCTGGTAGTTTGGCTGATGATATGTTGTCTTTAAAGTAATCTCTCCTAATCCTCTGTTGGAGTGTTTTCCCGCAGACTGTGAAATAGGGATCCATTCTAATCTGTAGGAAAGTAAATTTGTGATGATTTTGTGAATACAACAGCAAAACACACAGCTGTAACCAGGCTGCTTAATTCTGTTTCTGAAAGATACAATACCCATCATTACACAGTAACCCTCCTTCCCTCCCAGAACTCAAGGTCACCTACGCAGCACTTCCACCTCTGGTTTTCCTCTCAACAACCCTAAGGGCCAGAGACTGGACCAGAGTTCTTCAATGAGTTTCCATGCTGAGTGTGGGCTTGAATCTGGTCTCTTGAGCCCTAAACCACCATAAATAACTGCATCCCATTGGTTTTAAGCATTAGGGACTCTCTAGAAGATGGGCTGTTTAGTCCCCTGTTGAATTGATTATTGTTGCAACTAAGATGCCTGGGCCTAACATAAGCAGAACCACTAATACTGGAGGAAGAGAGAGCATCTGAAAGCATTGGCTGTTTTCTTCTCTCTTCCCAGACTCATGGTGAAAGCTTGCTCCTTCTATTCGACTTACTGGGTTGCTAAAGCAATCTGTCTGCTCATATGTAGTGGCACACCTTTACTGATCAAGGCAAACAACCAAAAAGGTTACAGCTATATTGAACTCAGGTGCAGAAAGCCAGCGGAGAGAGACAGTACGTACATAGGCATTTACTGCTTTTTAGGATTATACCCTCAAACGTAATGTAAATGATGTGCAACGAAAACAGTGTATGTAAGGCCGAAACCTGTGTAATCCTTAAGAAAAGAGCTCCTTGGGTCTCAGTTGAGGAAAGCTGTTCAAGGTTTGCCTATATGCAGCTATTGAAGCGGCATGGTATATAACCATTTGAATGGTCAGCCCTACCTCTGAGTGCTGGCTGAAAAAAGTCTACAGGCACATCCCACTGATCTTGAGTATGGGAGAAGGACCACTGACAAAAGGTGGTAGGTTGGAAACAAGCTTCAGTGGACAGAGATAGTCCTTCAGATAACCTTGTCCCAAACCAAACAGTGGAACTGAAGGACCAACTTTAGAGAATCAATTGTTTTCTTTCAGTCACTCTTCTCAACAATGATGAACCAAGAGCTCCTGTTGCCAGGCAGTGATCAAGATTAACCTTGTGTGCACAAGATGTTTAATCAGCAAAGTTGCATCTGCTTTAACGCATCCTTTAAAGTCAGTACTCAGGCCAGCTTTTCCCAGCTTGGGGCTCTCCAACAGCATCAAATTTCAGCTCCCCCAAAACTCATAGCCTCTGGCTAGACTGGCTAGTGATTATGGGAGTTGAAATTGGACCCATCTGGGGTTCATCAAGTTGGATAATGCTGGCTGCATCAAATGCTTCTTAGAACCCCCTCTCTGTATTGCCTTTTAAAGGATTCCAGTTAACCTGGGATTTTATTATGACAATCATCTCCATCAACCAAAACCTCCTGGAAGAATGGCCTGGGCTCCATCTTTGCATAAAGGCACCCTGCCGGACAGTTGGATGTCTTGCCGAATTTGTCTGGCCAGATCTGGATGACAAGACCACCATGTGCGTATTTCATACTTTGCACCAGCAAAACCAACACTGTAAAGTCTTTCACAGTTTACTATTTAAATTGCATCTTTCCCTGTACAGTGGGGCAAAAAAGTATTTAGTCAGCCACCAATTGTGCAAGTTCTCCCACTTAAAAAGATGAGAGAGGCCTGTAATTTTCATCATAGGTATACCTTAAGCAGGGGGACACATCTGGCACTGCAGGATTTGAGTCCCTGGCGGCGTAGTGTGTTACTGATGGTAGCCTTTGTTACTTTGGTCCCAGCTCTAAGCAGGGGGACACATCTGGCACTGCAGGATTTGAGTCCCTGGCGGCGTAGTGTGTTACTGATGGTAGCCTTTGTTACTTTGGTCCCAGCTCTAAGCAGGGGGACACATCTGGCACTGCAGGATTTGAGTCCCTGGCGGCGTAGTGTGTTACTGATGGTAGCCTTTGTTACTTTGGTCCCAGCTCTAAGCAGGGGGACACATCTGGCACTGCAGGATTTGAGTCCCTGGCGGCGTAGTGTGTTACTGATGGTAGCCTTTGTTACTTTGGTCCCAGCTCTAAGCAGGGGGACACATCTGGCACTGCAGGATTTGAGTCCCTGGCGGCGTAGTGTGTTACTGATGGTAGCCTTTGTTACTTTGGTCCCAGCTCTAAGCAGGGGGACACATCTGGCACTGCAGGATTTGAGTCCCTGGCGGCGTAGTGTGTTACTGATGGTAGCCTTTGTTACTTTGGTCCCAGCTCTAAGCAGGGGGACACATCTGGCACTGCAGGATTTGAGTCCCTGGCGGCGTAGTGTGTTACTGATGGTAGCCTTTGTTACTTTGGTCCCAGCTCTAAGCAGGGGGACACATCTGGCACTGCAGGATTTGAGTCCCTGGCGGCGTAGTGTGTTACTGATGGTAGCCTTTGTTACTTTGGTCCCAGCTCTAAGCAGGGGGACACATCTGGCACTGCAGGATTTGAGTCCCTGGCGGCGTAGTGTGTTACTGATGGTAGCCTTTGTTACTTTGGTCCCAGCTCATGAAAATTACAGGCCTCTCTCATCTTTTTAAGTGGGAGAACTTGCACAATTGGTGGCTGACTAAATACTTTTTTGCCCCACTGTATATTGGCCTTTATCCAGAAAATTATAACAATTATAACATTTCTATCTCCAAAGCAGATCATTTGAGATACTTTGCTCTGGACCCTTGTTTCTTAAGTTTAATTGAGGGGATGGCTCTGAATCCTCTAAACTGATTTTAAAAAGGAAATAAAACCTCCCAAATATTTCCAATAAGGTGCTTATTTTCATTTAAGCGCTTCTTCTAATTGTTACTGAGGGTTTCCTTTCTACCACTTTTATAGTCCTCTCTCATTTGATCCATCAACTTCCTGAACCTGCTGCCTTCTAGATGTTTTAGGTCTCCTCTCCCATAATCCCCAGCCAGCACAGCCCAAACTAAAGTGGAGATTAGGGCATGTGGTTGGCACTAGATTGGGAAAGGCTGTGCTGCAGGTTGGCTATTATGTCAGTTTTCTTCAGGTTATAATTAGGGCTTCATCAATTTTTTTTCTTTAACTTTGTTATACCTAAGCTAGGGGATACAATATACAATCAATGTAAGAGATTAATAATGTTTTTATAACTTCTCCAAATGGCTTATATTTTATTACTCTAAACAACTAAACAGATATTATTGTTTTAATATCTCCAAAGCCACCCTCTTGAAAGGTCAGCCTGAAAAATAGTGCCTACCCCAAGGGGACTAGAGGAGTCTCCTGCTGGGCTGGGGGTTCAAACTTAAATCTTTCCTTTTCCGCCCATCCAGAAGACATAGTACAAAATTGGTGTGTGGACTAACCTGCACCATTTCTGAGGGATTTCTACTCACCCAGGAGTAGCAGCTGTGGGAAAGAATAGTGGATTGTTGCTCAAGTGGTAGTTTCTTCCCATTTTCATCTGCATCTTTTCCCCACATTACAGCAGTGGGAATTTAGATATGCCTCTGTACTTCTAGTTTTTCAATCTTTCATGTTTAAAGCATTAGCAAAAACCACCTTTGGTAACCACGCCAAACCAAACCCCAAACAAAGAAACCAACCGACCCACATTTGAGTAGGTATGGCATTTAAATTCTGCCTTTTTCCTTGAAAGTTCAAGATGAGATACATTGGCATCTCTCATTTTATCCCCACACTTTCCCTTAGAGGTAGGTTGGTCTGTGCTAGGTGTAACTGGCCTAAATCAAGCAGTGAACTCCATGCTTGTGTGGGGACTTAAACCTTGATCTTGTCCTTAGTCTGAGATCTTAATAACTACCGTATCACACCAGGGGCCAATCCGTTTAGTGATGCTTGGTCCTTTTTCTCAACCAACCTCATTCCAGGTTCAAAGAAGACATTAAAACTTGTGGAATTTGTGCCCATCAGTTTGAAACAGAGCTCCTGTTACCCAAAGGTGAGGTTGGAATATTTGTCATTAAGGTCAATGATTCTCTGCCTTAATTATTTAAATACTAATGTTAGTTGTCATTATTGTTTCAATAAACTAGAATGTTGCATGATGAAATGGTGAGTTTGTCTTAGGGTAAATATCTTGAAAAATACAGGCTCAGTATCTTTAAGTATTTTACAAAATACTTACAGATACAAAATTCTATGGTCCTGGCTTTGTTCAGAATATTTGTAATATGCTATTGCAGTTCAGTTATAATGACTACAGGCCATTAGCTTCCGAGGGTTAAAACATAGTAACTTTGAATTGTTGCAATATTGGGGGTTTGCACTTCGCACAACAGAAAAACCAACTGACTCTTAAGAGACTGAGCCAGGTGTGGCTGACTGAACTGGATAATGGTAGGAGAGCTTTCTGGCCTTTATGCCTAACCCAGGGACCTGATGCCTTCTCTGAGGCATCCATAAACTTGGGTGAGAGGGAGGCAGTCTAGCCCAGGCGTCTGCCATAACATTATTGCAGAGGCCTGATATTAAGCATTTTACTATTTTCACAGTCCCAGACAAACCAAGCAGAACTGAGGCTCCTGCACAGTATTATATCACCAGCTATGGGAATGCTACCTTTGGAACCAGCACTGTCCATGTGGAAAGACAGGTATGTTAGCTGTGGCAGTCTAAAGTAGCCTTCCCTAAACTTGCTAGGAATTATGAACTATAGCCCAACTGGAGGACACTAAGTAGGGGAAAGCTGGCCAGAAAGATGGAGTGTTATATTTTGACCATGATGTCAGAAACAGGTTGCAGTTGCAATGTATAGTATTTGCGGTGTGAATTGGACCCTTTCATTCACGTATCTCTATTCCAGCATCAGCTGATACTGCTATGAAACAGAGAGACAGTAAGAGTTCACCCACCTAGCTTGTTTAACATGGTGCAAAGATGCCCCACATACTCTTTGCTCAGGACATGTCCTCAAAACACAGCCTCCATATTGTAGGTAGCCCAATGCTAAGGCAGGCTTAAGTTGGTCCAAGGAGTTCCAGCATGGAAGTAGAGTTTTCCTTGGGAAAACAGAAGAGGACCTCTCATCTGACATGGAGGTGACTTGAGTGCCACCTAGTAGTTGACAGCTTGACCCATCAATAATCATTTTGAAGAAATTATGTGGATGTACTGGAGTGCAGCCCATAGCCGAACACCTCTCTTGCACATACTGAATCCCCTTCCTTGAACTCTGGCTCCAAGATCACGTACAGGTAGTCTTTGACTTACAACCACAATAGGGACTGGAAAATTCATCGTTAAGCAGTGCGGTTGTTAAGTGAGGGATCACATGACTGCATCCAATTTTGTGACCTTTTTGTTGTGGTTGTTAAGCAAATCACAGTTGTTAAGTGAGACATCACGTGACGGTGACTTGCAACCTTCCCTGCTGACTTTGCTTGTCAGAAGCTGGCTGGGAAGGTTGGAAATGGTGATTATGTGACTACAGGATGCTGCAACCATTGTAAATGTGTGGCTGTTGCCAAGTGCCCGAATCATGATCATGTGACCGAATCATGATCATGTGACCACGGGGATGCTGGGACAGTTGTAAGTGTGAGGACTGGTTGTAAAGTTGAGTACTACCTGTAAGTAATGTACCAGGATCTTACCACCACCATTCTGGCACGTATTATATATGGCAATTGGTGGTGGCTTTACCCCGGGGGATGACGTTCAGCCAGGGAAAACTGCCAATTACTGCTCTTACAAGGTCATGTAAAGGAGTTGTACAGATAGGAGCATGGCACGCACCATTCCAGAGGTGCATTAAGGGCAAGATATGGGAGCAATGCAATTTACGCCAATGTGATTTCCTCCTGATGCCTGGATGGGAGGAATGCATGGCAAAGTGGCTGTGTGGATGAGCCCAAGAATTAAAACCATGCAGCATTTGAGACGGTGTCTCCAGAACTGCTTTGGATGGTGCAACAGCACAAATACAACACCTCTTTGCAACACCTTAAAAAGTTGCAAAAGATTTGTAAAAAGTATTGTTAAGAAGTGCCACATTGGTGCTCCTATGTCCTCCAAAGCACCAGAGAACTTTATTCTATAATTATAACACTTGGCTTTAAACCTGTTTAATCTTTTAAACAAAATCAGTAATACATTTCCTGATATATTTCATTGTAGAGCATCTTGGATAAATGAAAACAGCCATGAAAGACAAATCACTGGCCAACATCATTCCCGCCAATGTCGTTTCAGGATCAGTTCAAATAAAAAACTTACTTCTTAAACTTATGTGGAATGTCAGTTTATTTCCATAAAACAGAAGTGTATTGACTGAAGTTGTAGTTTAGTGAGCTACACGAGTTACAGAAAGACTTGATTTCTCATTACAAGTTCTCATTCGGCTTTATACACTTTATAAAATGAATATAAGACTTGATATTCAGTCCTAACACTACAACATAATTCAGTTCAGTACAAACAAGGTTTTCAGACATTCATAGTCTAGAAGGATTCTTGAGAGCCAAAAGCACAGTAAGTGGCTTTCATCTCTAGGAACAATGACTGACAGCAAAATTTGAAAAACATGTATAATAAAACTCATAGCCATTAGAATTGGATCATGAAAAACATACAGCTTTTAGGAAAGCCTGGTGAATGTATCACAGTTTAAGTACTGTGCCTGAGTAAAGTACAAATCTTTTACAGATAGTCAGTTGGAGTTAATGGAACAAGGGTAGTTCAGGGTTGCTGAGGATTAGCCCATGGGAACCCTCGAACTATTGCTGGCGCTCCCAGGAGCCATAGCCAACTTGGCCAAACGAGCTAAAATTCAGCAACACCCAGGTCCAGCTCCCCCAACCCTGCTTTAAAGTATCATTATCTAGGGCATATTAGAAAACAAGCTGCCAATTTCCTTATGCTGCAAAACCTCGGTTTAACAGGCCTCCATTTAAAATGGACTTCGGATGCGACAGACAAATTTGTGGCTAGATTTCATCTCCCTGTAATGGATTCATTTCAGTTACATCAATGATGTAGTTGTTTTTATTTCTGTTTGATATTGTTCGCCGCCCAGAGTCACTCATTGAGAAAGGTGGCTTTACAAATTAATTTTAAAAAAAAGTGTGCATTAAACTGAGGTTTATTGAAAATGATGCCATTTATGCCAATGATGTAAATTCAGATTTAATAAATATTCTGTCTCCTTGAACAGTCTGTCACATCAAGATTTTATTTTTAAATAAGCCAAGAGTAGCTGCCTCTGAAATAGTGCTTGTTTTATGGGACTTTATTTTCTTTGCCAACACACGAACCAGGATGGATTATCTTCAGGAAATGCATACTAACATCTCCCTTCTTATCAGTATACTCCTTGCTTCATCCAGTGGATTCAGCCAAATATTCTGCTTTTTGGCGGGGCGGGGCGGGGGGGCGTGTTGTGCTAAGGGAACAGTCAATCTTGTTCTATTTCTCTCAGGTTCTTACTGAAGAAAACTCTGCTTAGGAATCCAATTTGTAATAACACCCCACTTGCAAGTAATATCCAACACAGATTTATTAAACTTAACAGATACATTTTTTCACTGCATGCTAAGCAGGAACAAGGTGCTATCATGGTAGGTCAGGTTTATGAGCAGGTTAAAATGAAACCTTGGCTATAAACAATTGCTTCCTTTTCAACTATGAAGATACTATGTGGGCCAACTGGGAAATGCATTCTGCTACAAGGTTAATTTAAAACTTGAGTTCCATAGCTAAACCAATGACAAACATTACAAGGCTTTGCTTTATTTGCCATCTGGTCTGTGCTGAGCTTCTCTGAAATTGATTCCCAGTAAGTTTCACTCCAGGAGCTGGGGCCCCTTCGTTCAGCAACAGGAAAAGGTACTCTATGCTCACAGCCCTTCATGACCTGAAAGCACTGATTAAAAAAACCAAAAAAACATTCAAGCTCCTCTTCCCTTAAACAAGGCAAGCCGTACAGAAGATGAATGCAATCTGATCTGCAGGTCTCCTGCTTTAGCTAATGAAGAGCACGTCTCGACTTTGAGACAGGCTACCCAAACTTAAAACGAGTGTGCTCTGCCATCAATTCCATCCTGGCTTTCCAGCCTTGGATCTTGGAAGAAGAGGTATTTAGCAGGTCAGAAGATATGGAGAGATTGTTAACGTATGGGCACGATGCTGCTTCTGACGGAAGGTTTAAATAATGGATTCCCTCCTCTTCAATCACCCCTTTTTTGGCTTATCATGCTAGGCACAGAAAGACAGGCATTAGGTTGCTACCTGGGTAATGCAACCAGGTGGATCTGGTCCAGGGATGTCCAACCACCGTCCGCCTGAGGAACAGGAACTGTTGGCAAATGGATTTCAATTCTCATCTGCAGCCCTCCTACATGCCCTCACCTGCCTGAGCAGATCTGGGCAACGCGCTTGGAGTGGTTGAGGGAGAAGAGGAAAAAGACAGCGACAGTGCAACATAGGCTGCAAACCAGTATTCATTCACCTTTGCTGTTAATTCACCATAAAATAAACAACTGTTCCTATCTATTGCTTCTGCATTGGGAGTTCTTCCAGAACTGCACATTTTATCTAAATAAAAAAACAGTGCATCATGGCTTCAGTTCCAAGCACACTGAATAACGAATATAATCCACTAAATGCAACAGGATTCAATTCTAAAATGCATAAAGTAATCCAGCATTTGTTACAAAGTAAGAAATCTTAATATTTAATATGCCATGTTTTTGCTATGGCAAAACTGACTAAACAAGCTGTTTCTTTGAATACTGTGGACAATATGACTACAGCTACTTGGTACCTTCATAATTTTTTATCTTGTCCTACCCCAACTGCAGGCGAAGGCAAACATGGTCACCTGTATCCACCAAGTTCATTTCTACTAATGGGTTGTATATAAGCGCATGCAACCTCGACTTCACACAGAGAAGTCGCTTTGAAATCACATCCTTCCATGTTCCACTGCCTTACTCCATAGCAAAAGGGACAGAGAAGAAATCATGCACGGCACAAAAAATATAAAAAGCGGGAAGGTTACTAAAACTTAAGGTCATTCGCTGAAATTAACCATAGGAAATTCTGACGCTGACCAAAAGTTGAATGCCAGAACTATTTAAACTAAAATGTGGAGTCATGAATTATATATTGTTAAGGGGGAAATATGCAAGCAGCTGGAGGGTAGTGCTACCGCTGGCTACAGGATTAGTCCTGATGGCTGGACACTTTGGCTATGCAGTGCTTCAAATCTGATCCTCCAAAAGGTGTTTTGGACTGTGGGCAAGCATGAATGTAGCAGCTGTGAAGGACGCCACGTGATCCTGGGAAAAGACTTGGCTGCTTTAAGAAGTTGCAGACAGGTGCTACATTTAATAGTATATAAATACACTACCACTAGTGTGCAAAACCTTTTGACTCAAACCCTACTGAACTTGAAAGGGGGTTGTGCCTGATTGTGAAAAACTGAGCAGTTTGGAACTGTTTCAGAATTAGAACTAGTCTGAGTTGAAAAGTTTTGCACATCACATTTTAATATTGTGATGGAATGGAATTATGAAGGCCAGGCTCAGGGAGAAAAACATTTTCTTACATCTCCTGAGGAGCGTGGGAGATACAAGAGGATGAGACTAGCACCTCCCTAAGGAATTCACAATGTTGTGGCATTACTTGGGAGCTGGGGTTTCAGTCTGGGAAGATTGTTAGAGGTTGTAGCTAATAAACATAGCTGGACTGAATTTACATGGTCTCTTGGAGTTCCTTGGGCTAGGCCTGACATCAATCTTCCCAGACTCAAACCCCAGGTCCCAAGTAATGCCAGCCACAACACTGTGAATTCCTCAGGGAGGTGCTAGCCTCATCCTCTTGTATCTCCCACGCTCCTCAGGAGATGTAAGAAAATGTTTTTCTCCCTGAGCCTGGCCTTCATAATTCCATTCCATCACAAATATACCTTAAAATACCAACAGCTAGGAAGAAGCAGTAAGAAAGGACAATCACCCTCTTTGGGATGCTTGCAAGCTTCTAAGCCACATCTGTTTGGCCACTGTGGGAAGCCAAAAACTGACCTTGACAGGCCTTTGCCTGACCCAGCAGGGATCTTCTTACATGCTTCTATGCTTCTCTCATATCAAAGACCACATATTATGAGGCTACATTACCTGCAACTGTCTTACAGCTGGGGTAGGCAGTCTACTGGCTAGATATGGTCTACCAGTCCTACTGTCGTAGCCTACAGAACCCACCCCCCAAACTCTGCAACCAAAATTGGTCAGCAAAATGCCTTTTGTTTTGCCTCTACACTTTTTTGGTTTAATATGACTTAGGCTACAAAACAGGTTCCTGTGGGAATGACCTTGGGAGACAGGGGAAAGAGATGCAACCAAGGGAATGGTCAGATAAAAGGCAGCTGAGCTCGCAGCAGGGATGTGGGCGGGGCAAGAGGCCCAGAAGAGACCCTGCCTAGTTTCTTGGACTGTAAAGGAGATGGAGTGGGGAGGGGAGAGATGTAACTTCAGATTTACAAGATTCTGTTAATTTAGCTTTACAATAAAGTAGAATAAGCTCATCTGGTCATGTTTCCTGTCTGGTCTACTTCATAAGGCTGATATCAATCTTGCAAGTCTGAAATTACAGACTTAAATTACAGGCTTAATTACTTAATTAAGTCTATAATTAATTAATTATAGACTTAAGACAAAGATCAATGGCCTCTCATCCTTGGGCTGTGTAAGCCCCTTTGCCTATTAAAGTGTTTACTTACTTCACCTATTAAAGTATTTACTTACTTATGTGAGAAAAATACAGTGGTACCTCGGGTCACGAATGCTTCTGTTCACGACCAATTCGGGTCACGAACAGGCCCCGCGGCCTTTTCCCCTCCCGTACCCCGTGGTCGTGGCTTCCTGTAGGGAGGGGGACTCTCCCTCCAAACAATAACCGCCTCCCCACCCGCCTTCCTGTCCTCCACGCCTCAAGCAAGGTTAGCGTTCTCTCTCTTCATAGTGTACTGTACT